TTCTCAGGATCGTTGAGACATCATCATGCTTGTTACCTCTCAGGGCTCTTTCCTCACACAGCCTGTACACCTGTCATATCTAACTATGTGTTATGGATAGCTCATTCCTTGAAACCATAATTTGTCCATATTTTTTGCAGCTTAATCTTGTTAATCCAAGAACTGTATTAAAAACAAAACATCCCACCACATCAGTTTTTTGTTAACACGAGTATTCGTCTTTTCAGGACCAAGATTTGGAAGGGACACTATGTATTTAAAAGCATTGAACTCCTCTCACTCAGGCACAAGGTAGACCTCCTCAACCATTTTAGCCAAAGGGTAATAAAAAGTATGTGCTTTAGATCATCCTCAGCAAGAAACACCAGCTGTACATTTGCTGATAATGAATATCTAAAATGTAGAATGGATGAGATGAGAAAATTATGACCCTAGAGCCATCAATGGATCCTCAAAAAATCAAAGACCCACAGTTGGAAAGAGAAAATGTTCTGGTAATTTGCCATTCACAACTCTTATGAATTTGTGTACCATTCTGGCTGAATGGCTGCAAAATGCCCCATACTAACGTAATAAGCTCAGTACAAGCAAAATTCACTCTCAGCATAAAGACATGCAAGCATTTTAAGAATGACACAACTTCCTGGCATGATACGTGTTAATCTTTTGAGGCTTCCACTGCAGAAGTGAAAATCAAACTCTGTGATAGGGAATGGATGCACAGTGGGCACATTTTCATATTAAAGAAGCTATTCCTTATGAGCAAATACTTTGGAGTCTTAGTATGGTGGAGGAAACAGTGACTAATGGGATCAATGCAATAGTTGTTTAGAAGTTTTGTGTCACTACTGTGCTATACTGTGAGAAAGCTGTATGCAAGAAAAGTCAGGAAATGTTTTCATGAGCTCTTCTACTGCTGGCGTGTAAAGGAAGTACAGAAAGGGAAATAATAACCTAGTTATGAGGGAAGCACAGCTACCTTTTAGCAGTTATTTTTCTCTTCTGACTAATCACTTCTCTTTCAAATCCTGCCTAGGATGCTTAATACTCAGCATAGCACATCCTTGTAAGGACAGATAAGAACAATGAGATAACATCATTCAGTCTTTTTTTAGTTATACCTTTGGTCAATCAAAATATGATTTCTTATTAGAATAGAAGGGGAAAAATTATTTAAGATGGCTAAACATCAACTTGGCATGTGTGGAATTAACCCAAGAATAAACTTTAGAGTGAAATATGTGTGTGTGTAGATTAATTAAGAGCCATATTCTAGATCAGTGGTTCCCAAACTGGGGTTCGTGAACCCCTGGGGGTTCACGAAATGTTACAGGGGGTTCTTGGGAAAAAATTCCCTAATGGCGGACAGAGCTGTCCCTAGGAACCCTGGACAGCACGGGGCCAGCAGCCTGGAGCCCCTGGACTTCCAAGAGCTAAGCAGATCAAAGCAAGCATATCTATCATACTGAGGAGATTTAAACTTCAAGACTCCTTATAAGAAATGGAAAGGGAGGTGGATATTTTTTGCTGTTTTTAAAATTAAATAGGCAGGTAGTATTGTTTTTAAAATTATTATGAAGAACAAGTTTAAGCTTTGTTGTAACGTGCGTTGTTTGCCTGGACTGCTTAAGACCTGAATGCATATGTAGGAGGAACTCTTTGAGTTGGCTTCTTAAATACCTTCATGCTGTTTCAAATCTGATACTCCTTGATGAAACATAGGAGCCTTGTCTTATAACAGGCTTATTCAAAGTGATACAAGCTACGGAAGTGAGATCTTGGAAGACTGTTGCCGTTTTCATAATGTAATAAAAATAATGTAATTATAAATAATAATAGTGTGTAATAAGCATGTCATAAAAACAAATTTTATATTTCCAAGATCACTGCTTTTATAATTTATACTCAGGTAAAGGAGAAAATCCCTGAAATATTCATTTTTAGGAGGGGGTTCGCGAGACTTGACATTTTAGTGAAAGGGGTTCACAGGTTGTTAAAGTTTGGGAACCACTGTTCTAGATCTTTGCGCAAAGTGTGGGTTTTGTGCAGGGGAACTTCATGGAGAGCCAGAGTTGGGTGAGGGTACATACTCCTTTTCCCCTCAGTGTCTGAACCATTAGCATAGCTACTATGATAGCTTCTGGGCTGCAGTAGTGCCTGCTGCATCCCCACCTACCTTGGGGCTTACAGAGGCACTAGCTCCATTGCCTTCTCTGTCCTGCCACTCCTCCAACACACACACAAATCCACCTTCTGCACTGCTGTAGAGCTAGATCTCCATAGTGAGCATGGAATATGTAGACTACGGTCAGACCACACCTCTACTTTGACTGCATAATGGAACTGCAGGGATCCATTGCCTTTAGAGATTTGGCCCTAAATATGCATGGAAATTCTGATAAGTGTTCAACATTAAGGCTGTGGTGAAGTGTTCCTGCTATTTGAAAGCACGGGGTCCTATGCCAAACAAAGCTAGTGAACTTGTTATCTAGTGGATTGTCATGCTCTTCGTTGCCTATTAGACTTGTCAAAAAATGTGAGTAAAAAAAAAAATAGATCTGCCAAGCTCATGAAATGTAAACATTTTCTGAGCTTGTAATCAAGCAGATGTGAAAAAATTAATCTTTGCATAGTGATGATCTCATATAGTCTTAATCTTTTCTCTATTTTAATCTTGCTTTGAACATGAGTTTCATGGTATGGAGGGCAAATGTGAGATCAAAGCCATTAAATGTCTGGAAAAAACCTTCACAAGGGGGAAGCAAGATGTTTTGTATTTCTGACCCCAGTATTGTGATACAAATAGCTATACAAAAGGCAATTCCTATATTTGCGTGCTGTGATATTAAAGGAGAGTGGGTCTTCATAGCCTTCTACATTTCCTTAATGGAGTTTGTCAACCTCATCCAATTAAATCTGTAGTTCCCAAGCCCCCAATTTGGATGTATCTACACTTGACTCTCTCTATCCCCAGCATTCCTTACATTACATCTTGCACAGGTGTCTTCTCCTTTTCTCTGCCTCTCTCTCAAAGCTATTATTTCTCTTTCTGTCGTTGCAGTTTTTTCGCCTTATTTTTTTGCAGCTCCCTCTCTGTTCTCTTTTACCTTCTTTCCCTCTCCTCCATTCGCCTCTGATCTCGCCCCTTATTTCATTTTCCCGGTTTCACTCTGCTTTTTCTCTCTCTCAAAGCACAGTTGACAACACGTGAACATTTTTGCCAGGAACAGTCCTTCTTAATAAGCAGGATTCTGCTGCCATTAAACACCCTCCCCTCCCCTCCAGCCAGTGGATAGGTTGGTGGGCATGTTGAGGAATTTTAGGTTATTTTATTTTTAGAAGGTGAGAATCAAATTGTCCCAGGCAGTTGGCTGATTTGAAAAATCATCCCTTGAAAACAATGTTGTTCCCTCCCACAGCTCACCATTCTCCCCCCATGGTTTCCCTATCCTCCAAGTACAGTGACATTTACTTGCAGGGACAGTATATGCTTTCCTCTTGACTGTGCCCTACCCTCTTCCCTGCTTCTCCCTCCAGTGCCCATATCTGAAATGCCTTCCATGCCCTGGCTGAAATGAGTATAGCTGTAGAGGCAGATGCTGGCAGGGTCGAAGCTGGCTGCCATGGTCCCAAAACCATGTGATTCCTCTTCTAAGAAAATGGGGGGAAGCTTAAAAATATGCAGCAGCAGGCAGGGCCGGCTCCAGGCACCAGTTTGCCAAGCAGGTGCTTGGGGCAGCCACTCCGGAGAGGGGCGGCAGGTCCAGCTATTCGGCGGCAATTCGGCGGATGGTCCCTCACTCCCGCTCGGAGCGAAGGAACTCCCACCGAATTGCTGCCGCAGATCGCGATCATGGCTCTTTTTTTTTTTTTTTTTTTTGCGCCGTGGGGGGCGGCAAAAACCCTGGAGCCGGCCCTGGCAGGGCCGGCTTTAGGAAGTGCGGGGCCCAATTCAAATAATTTTGACGGGGCCCCGGCAGGGATGACTTAAAAAAAAAAACACGTAAAAAAACATGCGGGGCTTGTACTCACCGGGCGGTGCTCTGAGCCTTCGGCGGCGGGTCCTTCACTCGCTCCGGGTCTTCGGCGGCACTGAAGGACCCGCCGCCGAAGTGCTGCCGAAGACCCGGAGCGAGTGAAGGACCCGCTGCCAAAGTGCCGCCGAAGACCCGGAGCGCCGCCGGGTGAGTAAAAATTAAAAAGGCGCCTCTAGCCAGGGAAGGGATTCTTGGCCACTTGCCCCCCACTCTGGGCGGCCCTGCCACTGTGCGCGGGGCCCTCTTAGGCGCGGGGCCCGATTCGGGGGAATTGGTGGAATTGGCCTAAAGCCGGCCCTGGGCCCTGGCAGCAGGGGTGTGCATGGCACCATTATTATTACATATGGCTAGAGGCCCCGCTTTGGGAACGAGGCCTTTTACTACCCGCAGCACATGAAAAGCTCCACAGAGAGCAGTGGATGATACTGCATCAAAGGCGTTGGGGTGGTGCCCATCCTGCCAATACACTGGAGCCAGCGTGGTCCATACGCCCGCAACGCCGTGTGCAATGCTCGACTCCTCTCCCTAGGTGGCGCTGATGAGCGTCCCGCTCCTGCGTGGCACCATTCTCCTTTCATGCACAGGGGCCTCATATGCGCATGCGCCACGAGGGGCAGGGCAGGCGGCAGCGCATGCGCCGTGTGTGTTCCTGGCCAGAGGATGAGGCGGCGATGGTGGTCTCACTATCTCCCCGCCCCCCGGGTCCCGGTCGCCGAGGTGCCCGGATGTAGTGGATGAGGCAGCGTCAGGCTCGCTCCTGCCCCCGGGACGTGTAGGCGGCTGGCGAGCGCCCCGAGCCGGGAGCGCCCAGTGCGGGGAGGGAGAGCCGGAGCCTACGCGAGCCGCATCCTCCCCCCGCCGCCTTGCCGAGCGACCGGCCGGCTGCCCCGGCCAAGCCGAGAGGCCCCGCTCCTCTCCCCCCTCCCCCAGTGCAGCCCCCGCGGAGACGCCCCCCGTGGCCGGGCCTCCCGCCGGGCCCCCGCGTCCTTCCCCCGGGCCCGTGCGCGAGGGGCGGCCCCGGCATGAGCAGCGCCAGGAACAACCGCGTGATGGTGGAGGGGGTCGGGGCCCGGGTGGTGCGGGGCCCGGACTGGAAGTGGGGGAAGCAGGACGGCGGCGAGGGCCACGTGGGCACCGTGCGCAGCTTCGAGAGCCCGGAGGAGGTGGTGGTAGTTTGGGACAACGGCACCGCGGCCAATTACCGCTGCTCCGGGGCCTACGACCTGCGCATCCTGGACAGCGCGCCCACCGGTAAGGGCGCCCGGGCCGGGGACGGGACGCTCCCTTCTATCTCGCCCCACTTGGCAGGGGGCAAGAGGGGCTGGGGTCATCGGCGAGAGCGGGGGTGCTGTGGACTGGACCAGTGGTTTCATCCTCTTCAGGGTCCGAAATCCTCCCACTGGAGTTGATGGGATGAACTTCAGCCGCGGGGCGTTGTAGGCTGGCTCTCGCTGTAGGGGAAGTAGTCTGGACGTCTCTGTTGTGGACTTTAAATCTTGATTAGATAAAGGATTAGTAAATGGACAATAGGGAACAGTTCTGCAGGAATGGGTGGGGTTGGAGGGAGACGGTGGGGACCCGAGTTTTCTTTCATCTTTACTTTTTATTCTAAAAATATCTCTCAAACTGGTTCAGTCACTTTGTATTGAGGGCAGCAAGATATCTGGCAGCAGCTCTTTGTTAGAGCTAAACACATAATCTAATTTAAAACATATTTTACTTACCGTACATTTCCCTTTATTTCTACTATCGAAACGGCCATAGCATGTTAACACTCAAGTACCTTTTTAAAACTTATTATTTGAAATTTGAATTCACTCAGCTTGGACAATGAGTATAGAGCTGTTGGTTTAACTCTCATGTTCTCTTGCACCGACACTATGCGGCAATTTTGGTGGTGTACATACTGCAGGGAATGTTAAGGCTAACACAAACCAAAACCCCTGTTTTAATTGAAACTTTCAGAAAAAGGAAAATCCCAGTGGCCTTAGCTTTTTTCTTTTTTTTTTAATTAAAATTTGGGCATAAGCTTACTGGACAGGATTGGTTCAGAGGAAGGATTATTAGTCAGATTTATTGGAATTCCTAGTGTTTTCCTCTTCATTTCATGTCTTATATTTGCATTTTGCCTTGAGAAGAGAAAATGAGTGGGAGGAGGAGGAGGCCATCTTTCATTCTGCCAAGGGTCCAAATTATATATACACAAAGAAAAATGATATAGAAAGCTTGTGATGTTTGTTAATTTCTTTAGCAGACTTAATAAGATACAGAAACACAGAACTTATTTAAATTTATTGTTAATACAGATGTGCAATAGAGAAAACTTTTGTCATATTGAACACTTGAGATGGATACCCATGATTCTAAATGTGGAACTGTTCTTTTCTACATGTCCTTTTGGTGTGGTAGGATTGGACTGGGTATTCAGGAGGGATATGGTTTAAAAACATAAGCTGAAAATCTTTTATGAATTGTTACAGAAACAATAGGGAAAGTGTGTGTGTGTGTGTGTTTCAGTCTTGGATCCTGATTTTGCAAATGTTTATGGTTGTGCTTACCTTCATTCACAGGGAATGGTCCTACTGAAATCAGTGGGCCTGCTCCTGCTTAAAATAAAGCATTTGCATATGTGTCTGCAGGATTGGCACCTTGAATGCCCCTGCTGTTCTTGATCCAATGTGTAGATTTCAAAGGAATATTGTCAACTTGAAATGTATCTGAAAGTTCTTAGCTACTGTAGTTGCAAGTGACTGTGGAAGTTTTCTCCACTTTTGTTGTTGTTGCTGTTTTTCAATTTTTGTTTTTTTTACATAACTTGTGGATAGTATTAGTTTGTCTCATGTATTAGCCTGATGACAGCATTCTCATGCACTTGTTTGGGAGAAGCTCATATGTTCGCTTCTCTCCAGGCTCCACATGAAGGTGTTTGCCATAAAAGAGGAGTAGAGTTGTTTCTGAGTTTTAGGCTAATGGGTGTCTCCTCTTCATAGAATACCTGCATGGAACCAAGGGGTAGCTGGAGTTGGGGTTGAGTGGTAAATCTCTTCTTCATGCCACAATTCCCTGGGGTGTGGAAGCAACAGGAATTTGGAAAGAAGGGGAAGCAGCGGGGAGGTAGTATAGTCTAATGGCTAGGGCACAGCATTAGGACTCTGGACCTTTAGGTTCTAATTTTGTGACTGACCTGCTGTGTGACCTTGGGTAAGTCATGACACCTCTCTGCTGGCTTCTTGTCTTATGTAGATTAAACTCTCTCTCACTGTGTGATTGTCTGTTGTCTAGCATAAGGGGGCCTTGATCTCAGTTGTGGCCTCTAAGTACTACTGTAATATAAACAATAGCAAGAAATTGTGGGGGGATGTTAGAATTTGGGAATCAGTGCCTCAGTACTGTTAGAGAGGCAAGTGAGAAGGAATCCACAAAAGGAGGTGTGCACCCAAACATGTTTGTTGTTGGTTTTGGGTCTGCTCACTGTCCCTTACTGAAAAGACCATTATAAACATCAGCAAAGGAACAGAAAAACCTTCCTTTCAAAAAAAAAGAAAAAGGTGGGGGTGGGGCGGAGGGCAGAGGGAAGGGATGGGAAAGAAGTGGGAGGGGCAGGGGGCGGGGAGAACCCAGGCAGGACATATTATTTGAGCATTAACCTGTACCCCCTGACAGGCCAGCCAACTGAGGTTAAGAGCACTGCCATACTCGAGTTAAGGGCTTTTGTGTACAGACAGGGTTCAAGTTAATGCTGCAGTAAAGCAAGCCCTAAATATGTTTCATATATTTCTGGAGATATACAGATAGCTCTGATGTTTTATTATAATATATAATAAAATTAACCCATTTTACACTCCACCCTTACTACCAGGATAATATACCAATGAAATACGTGCATTACAGCTAGATAAATAACCAAAAATCATGGAATGATATTTTTATTCTTCTCAAAATATTGAAATTCATCTTGATTAATGCATAGAGACCTTGAAATGAAATTGCTTGTCATGTAATTCTTTGGGATATACTGTTAAAGTACTATTTATAAAATAAAAATTCAATTGGTTTTCAAATAACTACAAGTGCGCTAGCTCAATTTTATAATCATTCCTTGTTTTGAATACCTAATAAAAGGAATTCTCAGTATAATACACACTGTGGATTTGTTTCCACTGTTGGAACTTTCTGGTTTTTCTACCAGATTGCCATGAAATCTATGGACTTTGCTATAGAATGTGTATGGAATGTATAATCAATTCTATTGATCGAAGTGCTTGAAGCCAAAATCTGTTCCTACTGTCAAACATAAAGAAACATGAGGCCTGTAAACAGATTTAGACTTCCAAAATAGTTTATTTTCCAAAAATGTGTTTAGTTATATATAAAAAACTGAATTTAATAATTTAATTTAATTACTCACAGGCCTGTGCACTTGTCAAAATACATTTTGTAGGCACATAGCAATTGACAGGTGCTGTTTGTATTTAAAAATTACTTATTTTAAATGTTCGTAGTAGTAGTTGTAGACTGTAATCACTATTGCAAGGTTATATTAATGCTTCATAAGTATCAAATCTTGCAATTCCCTAGCATTTCTGCAACTGTCTTGGTTAAAATGAAAATTGTCCTGCTGGATCTTGGGGGAAAATGAGGCTTTTATCTCTTAATTAGCAATCTTACTCCAGACCAGAGTAACATTGCTTACTAAAACTCAGTGTTGTCTGAAGATTGTTCAGTGACTTCTGAAATGAAGTTCTTACTCCATGTCTAGAGGTTCTGGCTAGACCAGGAGCAGGCAAACTTTTTGGCCCGAGGGCCACATCGGGTTTCATAAATTGTATGGAGGGCTGCTTAGGGGAGGGGGTCATGGCCTCGGCCCCCCCTCCTATCCTGCCCCATCCAACCCCCCCTGTTCCCTGACGGCCCCTCTGGGACCCCTGCCCCACCCACACACACCCCGACCTCCGCCGCCCCATCCAACCCCTCCTCTCATTCCTGACTCTCCCCCCGGGACCCCTGCCCCATCCAACCCCTTCTCTCATTCCTGATGCCCCCCCAGGACCCCTGCCCCATCCAACCACCCCTTCTCCCTGTCCCCTGACTGCCCCCGGAACCCCTGCCCCTGGCTGCACCTTGCTGCCCCATCCAACCCCCCCCCCCTTTCCTGACTGCCCCCGGGACCCCTGCCCCCATTCAACCCCCTGTTTCCCCTCCGACCACCATCCACACCCCCGCCCCCTGACCACCACCCCGAACTCCCCTGCCCTCTATCCAAACCCTTCCCCTTACCGCGCTGCCTGGAGCGCTGGTGGCGCTACAGCCACGCCGCCCGGCTGGAGCTGGGCCACGCTGCCGCCACCACGCAGCACAGAGCATCGGGTCAGGCCGGGCTCTGCAGCTGCGCTGCCCCAGGAGCTCACAGCCCTGCCGCCCAGAGCATTGTGGCGGAGCGAGCTAGCTGAGGCTGCGGGCGAGGGGGAACAGTGGGGAGGGGGGAGCGGGGGCCGGGCTGGACAGTCCCGCAGGCCATAGTTTGCTCACCCCTGGGCTAGACACTTCCATTTCAGAGATGAGCTACATTGGTGAGGCAGTTTTGGGAAACATGCTCTTGCTGTATGTGTGTACTTCTTTGTTTCATGGATAAATAGAGATGGAGGCCCCAGTCTTGACATCTGTATGGGCAGACTTTATGCCATCAGTGGGTCTCGTGTGCTGGTATACCGTCTGATTGTAACCATTAGGTGTTCAAATGGCAAAGAACAAATCTGCACCTCAACTTTGTTTCATAGGAAGCATTTTTGTGTTAGCTGTATTTCCGATCATAGTGATATTTCACTATCAATCATATTGTATACTTGTTTAGATTTTACAGGTTTGCTATTTAGCACAGTTTTCTTCCACAAATATGTTTGTGTTAAACAAAAAAGGAACAGGAAACATACATAAATTTCAAGTACAAAAATCTCAAAACCATTTTCAGAAATTTTTTAACGCTAATATAAGGCAAGATTTAACCCAAAAATATCACTGACTAATCTGTGATCTATCAAAGTTATAAAGTGAGTTTCTGCTTCCCTCTTGTGAATATGCACATGGTTATACAAATAATTTATTGGATTAAAATGTCAGACTCTTCATTAAAAATATCTAACTTGAAGAGTCATGTTCCACATTTATTTACATCTGTCTTAATAGTTAAGTCCTGCCTTAAATATTTTATAATTTCAGTTGTTGAAACTTTATTTTCATTTAAGTGAACAATAAAACATGTTTTATATTGATCTAGTAACAGACAGCTTGATTCAATCAAAGAGAAAAATTGTGGATTGCCAAGATATTTGAGATTCATCATAATGCCATGTGTTTTGGTTATATTTCTTGTGTATTAACTTTGACCAGATGAATGCTGATGATAATGTAATTCTATACATGTTTGTTTACTAAAACAGTGGGGTTTTTAAAAGCTAATCCCCCCCTCATTTGCTGCAGAATCACCTTGATTTTTTTTTTTTTTAGTCTTGTCTCTTTATCTCCCTGCCTGAATCGCTTCTCCTTGGTAGTGCTGATTAGTATCTTGCATGGTGTGGAGGTGGGGTGCATATTACCCCCAACTTTTCTAGAGTAGTCATTTGTAGCCCAACTTTAATTAAAAATGACAAATTCCTCTGCCCCCCCCACCCCGCAACTTTCCCTTTCCCACGGCATATAAATTGGTCGCCTCTTGGTGATCATTATTTCAACTTTCAGTATTGCACTAAACAAGATGCAATCTTGAATGTGGAGGGAGTTACTGAATCAGGGATGTAAAAGGGAAGAGGAAATAGTCTCTGAAGAGAGGATGATTTTAGATCAACCAAGGAATTTAAACAATGAGGGGAAAAAAAGTTATTTTCCATAAAGTCCCTTTTAGGTAGGCCCTGGGATGATATAAGAGGCAGAATAGTAAGTGGTTAGAGATGTTGCAGACTCTACAAGCAAAAAGGATTCACTTTTATTCACTTTGTCTAATTGGCAGTGTCACTCCATTAAGACCTCAAAGTAGGAAATAAGGAGTTTGGTGCCTTTGAGTCACTTTTACAATTTAGTGTGGTAAAAATGACATGCCTCCGATACCTGGATGTACAAGGGGTCCTCAGAAGGCAGCCCTATGGCTGTTTTCCACTGTTCCTGGGCTGGTGGAATCTTCACACACAAGCTTAGACGTTTACCATATATCTTTATAGTCGAAGACAGATAAAAGATGGGGTAAAAGGATATTTGTCTCGGAGCAATGGCCAGATGGGAAGGCAGTTCTCTTGCTCCCCTTTGCGGTCCCCCTGCTCCAAGCTGTTGGTAAAAGGAGTACTGGTTCCTACCACTGTGGCCACTTTGCACGAGGTTTCCATCTTTCAAATCAGTATCTAGCTAGTAGGTGGCTAATAAATTGGAAGCCCTCACTCCCAAACCACTGTTCCTTCTGGACAAGAGAAGGAACCTTTTATTTATTTGGTCTGTTTCCTCTCTAATGTCAGAGATGCCTAGCTGTCTTAAGGCTAGGTAACTGGGGGGGATTCTCCGCTACTCTAACCCTCCTCTAGCATCCATTTTTGCATTGTCCTGATCACTGAATAGCACCACTGCTTATCGCTTCTGGTGCTCGTAACATTCCTAAACATTAGCAGAGTAAAGCTGACTTGATTCTTGTCCATTTCACTGCTGTTCACAGGGTTCTGAACAGCAGCAGTGACAGCTTTTAGGCCTGCTTGGTTCTTACTCTGCTATAGCTTGGAAAAGCTATGAGCATATGGAGAGGCTTTGGGGCTGTCTTTTCGCAGACTTAGGAAACAATGCTCCAGCGGTTTGCATGTGGTTCAGGTTTGGCAAGTTATCTTAATAACCAAAAGAGCTAGACACTTAATTTTTTTTAAATCAAAGCATAGATTCTATTGAAATAATGGCAGTTGTCCATGAGAGCTTCCTACTGGTCATGGGCAAGTACATTTTTCAAACTGTGGTTTAAAATATAGATGGACAGAATTTAAGCTCCTTTGTTGTCCTACGGATGTTAAATATAAATCAGACTAAAGCATCAACTGTTAGATCCTTAACATAAACTGTGTCATTGCACAATAGTTGTTACAGTTCCTTATTGATCCATTGATAGAGAATTAACCTGACAGTTAAAACTCCCCAGGAGATTAGTATTTTTGATGGGGATTTCTGACAATTTAATCTCTAGAAGTTAAAGGAAACTTCATTATCTTTCCTCTTAGAATATCTGAATTGAGTATATAGCTGGGAAAAAAAGAAATGTGGTCTGCAATATATATTTAATTGTTGAGAAGGGAAGGACCCATGGACCAGCAACCAGAAAGATGAAAGATAGTCCCCAAACCTCTTCCCTCATCCATAATTCCTTGATTGGCATAGGCTAATATGGTTGCCCCTACTGAACCCTATTTGCTCAAGTATTCTTTGATAAACATTTAACTTAATTTTGGATGGCAATAAAGATCTAAATAGTATTTTTTTAAATCATACTGGTGTCACATTCTTGTTTTCATAGGTATCAAGCATGATGGAACTATGTGTGATACTTGTCGACAGCAACCAATCATTGGCATCAGATGGAAATGTGCTGAATGCACAAATTATGACTTATGCACAGTCTGTTATCATGGGGACAAACATCACCTGAGGCATCGTTTTTATAGAATAACCACACCAGGAAGTGAAAGGTAAAATGTGTGTTTTTTCCTGAGTTTAAATAGAGGAAGTAACTTATTGTAGATAAATAATTTTTCTAACTGCTAATTTGGTTACTATAAGTTTAGCGATATAAAGTATTTGCTCAAGACACAGATTCTGTTCCCGATTCTGCCACTGATTTATTTTGCAGCCTTAGACAAGTCACCTAACCTCTCTGTCATGCTTTCTCTCTGTAAAATGGGAATATGGTACATGCCCTTTGTTAAATGCTTTGAGAACTACAATTAAAATCATTATGTAGGTGCTGAGTATTATGGTGTCTCAAACTCAGTATCTCTTTTTTCCTTACAGCATTCTGTACTGTTACTGTGTCAGAGTCCTAATTTCACTAGCTCTGCTTCTGTTTGTGATAAGGAAAGAGGGCAGAACAGTGTATTTCTTCTTGGAAAAAAAAGTTTCATGTACAAGTAATGTCAATGAAAAGTCGTCATTCTTTCTGTGAAAGACTGAGACTGCTTTTCATATATTTTCTGAAACAAATACACATTAAGTATAGTGTTTTTCATACTTGAGCTTTTACATAGTAGGTATACATTTGGGGAGACATGAAATTGGAGCTTCCAGACTGTCCAGTAGAGTCTGCAGTGTATTTTTCTGTTCATTTATCTTTGAAGCCCAACCATGACCACTTAAATGCCAACAGTAATTGCTTTATTAACAGATCACCTATCTGTGCATTTCTGATGTTTGTACCACTGTAGTATACCGGCACCAAAATACATAATGTCAACAGGATATCTGAATTAGAAACAGGATTATGACTTTGCTGGAAGATGAGGCATAAAGGATAAGTTGGGCCAGTGAGGGGAAGATGTCTTTTTCAAACACAAGTCTTTAATAATATTTAATAGAATACAGAAAATGACCTGGTAGAGAAATTGATTTCTATACAACATTTTTTTTTTCCTTCAAATCTGCTTCTGTTTAAAATCCCATTGCAACGATAGGCAGAATAGTCTTTTTTATATTGCTTGATAGTTGAACTTTCCAGTCCCTTTTAAAAAGAGGTATTTGATGTAGCCAAAATGTTTCTATGAGTTAGTCTGTTCTAGCACATGCCCTTTTCGTCTTGTTTTCAGAGATAAGCAGTGATAGCAATCCATAGACTCACCATATACTTATGTCCTCTTAATGCTCATCCCCTTAGCTTCTTCCTGTAGCCCACTTTGACTTCTGCCTTGATGATGTAGCTCATATACACAGAAAGGCTCCGTTAGCTTCCAGAAACCTGTTGCTGTTGGATCCACTTTGCTGTGAAAAATGAACTGAAAATATTTAACTTTTTTTGCAATGGAATTTGAGGGAAGGTTCAAAAGATGTGTTCAGAGATATTCCATTATTCTTTGGTGAAGGTAAACTGAGAGCTCAGCCAATTTAATTCCTGAATCCAGAATAGTATGGTGAACTACATGCTGATGTCAAATCTACTATTGATAAATCTCTGTTTTGTAGACATTTTAAAATTTTTTTGACAGAAGGCTAAAATCCTGTTCCAAACAAAACATCTCTTTATGGACTCCATCACGCTCATTCATTTGTTGGATAGGAAAAGTAGAAGGAATCACTAAGAAGACTTTTGATCTGCTGTTTGCATAGTTTGGAATAGCAGCTTATTCCTCTGTGGCTCCTCATCTGCTGACTGTGATAAATTCAACAGGAGAGTTTTATTCTCTTCCTAAAATGGTTGCGGGGCTGTGGGGGTGGAGAGGAGGAATCTATGGTTCTGCTTAGATTAAAGATATGCTTTGTCTGCCAAAAATCTCAGGCTTCATGTCATCGTGACTTTTAGGGAACAGAGTGGGGGAGTATGGGCATTCAGAATGGTGGCTCTTCAGAGAAAATTTTAATTTTACCTGTTCAGGTCTGTTCCCTACCTCCACTTGCAGTCAAGAAAGTACCCTGTTCAGGCAGATCTGTTGGGGACATGTTACTTACGTTCTGCAGAAAATTGAGGGTGGGCAGGAGAAGAGATTTTGAGAACAGTTTTGCATTACAGAAAAATAAGAGTGATGGAAGACAAGTTGAAATATTGAGTGAAGGATTCCAAAATGTGCAATAGGAAGAAAAAAAAATTGTCAAATGACCTCCAATATGAAAACAAGGTGGAATAATAGCCTGATACCAAAATATAACTGTGATGGGTCCTGCCACCTGGTACTGGAGTACAACTGAGCCCTCTGTTTTACTAATCTGGGCTCCCTCCTCACAATGTGCAAAGCCGTCCAAGCTTGCACTCAAACCATCATCCACAGGCTGTGTTCATGAATGCATGCACCAACAATAGAGAGGCTTCAGCCAAAATACCCCAAGCTCCCCAGCCTAGGATGCCAGAGCTATATCTTCCTGCCCTGGTCAAAAACATGACCAGTATATGAGAGTTATACCCAGTCTGCCCCTTCCATCGATGTGGAGAGGAATATGCACAAAGTCTTTGTTAACTGAGCTGCGATTTCCGCCCCCCAAACACTTCACTCACACCACACTGTTTTAGGTAAAAAATATAAAATAGATTTATTAACTACAGAAATACAGATTTTGAGTGATTATAAGTGACAGCAAACAGATCAAAGTAGATTACCTAGCAAATAAACAGAAACGCAATCTAAATCTTATACAATACACAGGTTTTGACAAACAGTGTCTCACCTTGTTAGATAGGACAAGCAGTTTGTAGATGTTTTATATACAGGCAGGAATCCTCTTTTCCAGCCTGGGTCCAGCACTTCCCCCAGTTCAGTCTTTGTTTCTCAGGTGTTTCCAGGTATTGAGTTGTAGAGGGAGTGAGGCTTCTTGGTGATGTCACTTCCTCCTTTTATAGTTTCTTCCATAAGGCAGGAACCCCTTTTGTTCCAAGCCAAGTTCCCAGCCCAGTTTGTGGAAAAATACAGGTATCAAAATGGAGTTCAGTATCATGTGGTCTGGTCACATGCCCGTGCATGCTTGATGAGTCATGGCAGCCATTAGCCGTAGGCTGTCTGAAGCATCCCCTGGTGAGGACAAGCCTTTTCCATGGCCGTTGACTTTGTTTATGTGCCATTAGCTCTGTCTAGCTTCTTCATTGTTGTACCTGAAAGGCTTGTTGTGGGAGCTTCCAACTTCACAACATCTTTCAGTAACACACACATAGCAAAACTTCATAACTTCACATACGATAGCACATACAATCCAACAGGATATTAACATTCAACAGATCAAGACTTTTAGAATGATACCCCACAAGGTATACTTTGTACAAAACATACCATAATTCTATGGCAGTGATGAATATGGGGGTGCCAGGGTGTCACAATAACTGCCAGAATAAAAAGACGGTACAGAATTAGGGGAAAATACAGATTTACGTAGATCTTGAAATTTGCTGACGGGGGCAAAATACATTGTTTATAAATGAGTTTGCATGCTGCTTTACTGACCTTAACAATATCTGATAATACCCGTATGTAGGTGTTAGCATCATATTGCCAAAACAATAAAATGTATTATCAGGAACCCTGGAGATACAAATCCAATTATCTTAATATTACTTAAAATATTAATTGCAAAAAAGTAAAATTTAGACATGGAAAGAAGAGCTTTTCACCATGTGACTTTTCAGAATGCTGAATTTTCAATAGTGTGCTGAGCTTTCTCATAAAGATGAACTTACTCACTTAACCCTGCATTTCCTAGTTCTTTTAATTTTGTAGGATTTTTAATGTTCAGTAATGTTATGTGTTGGTTAAATGCTCCATTTCAGGACCTCTTGTGTGTTGCTTTTATTAACTTGTCATTTGATTTTTAACTTTAGGGTGCTGTTAGAGTCTCGTCGTAAATCAAAGAAAATTACAGCAAGAGGAATCTTTGCAGGTGCCAGGGTGGTACGAGGAGTTGATTGGCAATGGGAAGATCAAGATGGTGGCAATGGACGTAGGGGGAAGGTAAAAGCGAAAATGGTTTAAATAAGAAAATACATCACATATTACTTATGGGTAACAAGTGCTTAGATTATGTCGCTATAAACTTGTGAAACATAAACGTTGTTTACCATTAAAGTGTTTGTTTTAAAATGGGTACCACTTATACTGCTGTAAGTTATAATAGAACAGGCGTTCTCAAACTGGGGGTCGTGACCCCTGAAGGGGTCATGAGGTTATTACATGGGGGGTTGTGAGCTACAGCCTCCATCCCAAACCCCGCTTCATCTCCAGCATTTATAATAGTGTTAAATATTTTAAAAAGTGTTTTAATTTATAAGGGGGTGGAGGGTGTTGCACTCAGAGGCTTGCTGTGTGAAAGGGGTCTCCGGTACAAAAGTTTGAGAACCACTCTTATAGAATGTAGTCTTGAGCTTAAATGATCAAAATTGAAAATACGAGACTTGCAGATTATCTCAATTCCCTGTTTTTGGAATGTTCATAAAAATAAATATTTTGGGTGAGCTTTAGGACCATTCAGGAGTTCATGTAAAAACTAACATTCTCAGACATACCCACTCAATCAACCTTCACAACAGGGGATTTTGCTTTCTCTTCACTGCTATCAGAGAAATCAAGTTGTTCTGTATATCACTGGCTCAGCAGGTTATTTTAAAATTTAAGTGCTTACTTAACAGGTTTCTATTTTGTGATCTATTATTTTGGGGGCTCTTCCAGTTTTATTAGATTTGGGCTTTTTTGGAGTTTAGACAATTCTGGAAGTTCTTTAGTTGGAGGTACTACATTACTGACTTGTTCATTAAATAGTTTTATGTGTTAGCCTGATGTCTTGAAATAAAGATCTCTTCAGCATGTTAGAACTTAATATAAAATCAGATGCAGTTCTGTTAATTGACAAATCATGACTCAAGGACAGGGGTGGACAAACTACAGCCTGCGGGATTGCCACCCCGTGGTGCCGCGGGCCCCACCCTGCTCCCGGAAGCGGCCGGCACCATGTGCCTGCGACCCCTCAGGGAGCTGTGGGCAAAGGGCTCCGTGTGCTGCCCTCGCCTGCAGGCACCGCCCCCCGCAGCTCCCATTGTCCGGGAACAGGGAACTGCGGCCAATGGGAGCTTTGGGGGAGGTACCCGCAGGCGAGGGCAGTGCGCGGCCCCCTCCCCCCCCCCCCCCCCCTCCAGGGGCCTCAGGAATGTGGTGCTGGCTGCTTCCAGGAGTGGTGCAGGGCCAGGGCAGGCAGGCAGGGAGCCTGGCCGGGCCGGAGCCCGCACCCTGAACCCCTCCTGCATCCTGCACCCCAACTCCCTGCCCTGAGCCCCCTGCTGCACCCATCCTGCACCCCAACCCCCTGCTGCACCCTTCCTGCACCTCAACCTCCTGCCCTGAACCCCCTCCCGCACTCTGCACCCCCTCCTGCACCCAACCCCCTTCCCTGAGCCCCCTTGTACACCCCGCACCCTTCCTCTGCCCCAACCCCTTGCCCTGAGCTACTTCCTGCACACCGCACCCCCCCACACACATCCCACACTCCCTCCCGCACCCCAACCCCCTGCCCCAGCCTTACATTCATGGCCCTGCATGCAATTTCCCCACCCAGATGTGGCCCTCGGGCCAAAAAGTTTGCCCACCCTGCTATAGGAAACAGAAACTGTAGAAAACGTGCAGGAGAATTAATTATATGCCCAGAAGAACTTGATTATAAAAGTGAATTTTAAACAGAAAGTAAGGCATAGTATAATTTCTTTAACATACATAAAAGAGATTATAGAAAATGAGAATAACTTTTATTGTTTTAGTGAATTGATGCATTGAATCAAATTTATTTTGCAGTCTAAACATAATTTAAATAAAATATTTTGCTGTGCAAGCATAGTTACTGTGTATTCTGGTATTATGAAAAATCTATATACAATCTGGAGTTAGCCATTTTGGGATCCGGTGATTACTAAAGGGAAACAACAAACTTGAAATCCAATTTTTAAAACATAAGTTAAAAGGAGTTTCAGATATGGCACCTTGAGACAATATCTCCCTGACAATTTGTGTTTTTTTCCATTGCATTTTCCTATTTATTAAAACAATTTACAATAAATCTGTTATTGATATATGGAAGATCTACACAGAGGAACTTACAAGCAATAAATGGGAATTTAATTAAATACTGAATAGTCATTTTCACCGTTTCCCCCATGAAACCTGAAAAATAGAAATATTTCTTTTTTTTCAGTGGTAGTAATCATGGGTGTTGTAGCCATGGTAACACATTTGGAGATGAGTGACTTAATCACATAGCACCATATATTACTATGGCATGTTACAAAGCAAAGGTGGCATTACTGCTCTGAAGAGCTCACGCACTTTAGGTCCTTCTCCTGCAAACACTTGTTCACTTAACTTTAACCAGTGGGACTATTTTCATGCTTAAAGTAAAGCACAAGAACAAACATTTTCAGGATGGGGTCTACGGTAAGAAAAGAGGGAGACAGCAAATAGTGAGAGAGGCTTTTGGATAAGTGTTGGGAGAAAGACAATACATTCAGAAAGATGCTTGTGTGTTATGGATGCCTCTTCAGGGTTGCATTTGTACATGGCATCAGTATTTCAGAAATGCAAAGAAAAAATACAGAGACCCAATATTTTCATCTTCATTCCCCTTCTGTCCTGGTATTTAAAGACTGGGATTAGAATTAAAATTAGGTCATATAATACAGACTGCTACCTGTAGGCCACCAGCCTGATGTAACCAAACTAGCTTAAAACAAAAACAAGTCCTGAGAATAAATTGTTGCCATTTTTGGTATTTTTAGTGAAAGTTTTTTTCTTGTAAAAACATTGTAAACCAGTTTCATTTTGTACTTCTCTTCCATTTTTAAACCGGTTTACTTGAAAAATATGTATCTTATGGAAGTGGCAATCTGGATGTTTATTTCCTAGGGATAGCATTAATTAAGGTGTATGAACGTTGTTGGTAGAAAATGATAAAATGGCATTGGGGAACTGGAGTTCTGGTTTTAAAAAAAAAGCTTCAGTAAACCCTGCTGTATCATGCTTTTAAGTATAGGTAGAAGTGGTGGAGGAAGTTTAAAGTTCAAAATATGTTGCTAAACTTTTGTAACCCATTTTTCTATTTTTAAACTCAATAGGTAACTGAAATCCAGGACTGGAGTGCATCAAGCCCACACAGTGCAGCATATGTTTTATGGGACAATGGCGCTAAAAATCTTTACAGAGTTGGCTTCGAGGGCATGGTAAGGAGTAAAGCAACACAAAGGGTAAAATACTTGGAGGAGGGGAGGGTAGTAAGAATAGCTTATGCTGTGCTTTTATTCTCCTTTTGTGATATCCTTCTGTCCGTTTCCATGCTGTTAATCAGTTCATTGTGAATACAGCTGGATGGATCATGAATATGCATTAGGAAGGAAGTCTGATCTGAGAGTTTATTAAACATCGGTGCAAATCATTTAAACTTTAGAGCTAGCTTCTGCCTGAGTATTACAGATATTTACATTTGCAAATGCAATTTTCCTCCTGGCATTGATGTTTTACTTTAATTAGAATTGGTAAAAAATAGAACTATTTATTTATAAACTTCCTTAAAAGGCCCTAACTTTTTCTTTAATGCCTCAGAACTTGGTTTTTGAAAATCTCCGCAATGCCAAGTGTCTAGATTAGAAACACTGCAAGTCTTTCAGTTGTCATTTAATTTTCACTGTGAAGAACACTCAAAACATTTTCAGATAGTTTTAGAATATTTTTTTCCTACTTTGGAGCTATTGTATTTCAGACTTTAACACTAAATTTCTCATTTTGATTTCACAACTTTTAGAGTATAACAAGACCACAAAAAGTGGGTCAGGTTTGGTAATGAGACTTCTGTTGATATCTCTGTTTCCTTTTTATACGCTCTTACCCTAGTGCGGACCAACGAAAAGTTTCCTTGATTGTCAACTGCTGAGACATATTAATGAGCATTATCATTGCATCATTTCTGTTAAAAAAAATTTCTTGGTTATATATTACAGAAGGGAGATATACTAACTTACATTAGAATGTCCTTCTGTCATATTCCTGCAACAAGAATTAAATTTAACATGTTGACAAAGCAGCTTTTGTAAAAATAGTAAATTTTGCACCATATCCACACTTATAGGATAAAGTGTAGTTTAATTTAGGACAAAATCAAAATATAGTACACCTCTACCCCGATATAATGCGACCCGATATAACACGAATTCAAATATTACGCGGTAAAGCAGTGCTCCGGGGGGGCTGCGCCCTCCGGCGGATCAAAGCAAGTTCGATATAATGCGGTTTCACCTATAATGCGGTAAGATTTTTTGGCTCCCGAGGACAGCGTTATATTGGGGTAGAGGTGTACTTGTTACTTCTCCATCTGCTTTTAATCTGATTATACTTCTTAATTGACTGAAGAGGCTCATATTCTCAAAGGGGAATATTTATAATTGGGAGATTTATTAATATTCTTAGAATATCGGCTAAATAGATATTAGAGCTCTTAATAGTCCAACCATAAATAGAATGGTTTAGTATGTGGAAGCCTCTTTGATAGATACTACCCTGTACAAATCAGAGATGTTTGATCAGCCATTTAATAAAGAATAGTAACCCATTTTTAAAAAGAAGCTTCAATTAAAAAAAACTGCATTGGCATTTTTGTATCAAATGTGCTTTAATTTTCCATATTGACAGTTTATTTTTCACATTGTACATTTAAAACTTATCTTGCTATAAATCAGTTTCTTTAGTAACTTCCTATTTGTTTCAAAGTGTTTGTGTTTATCAGTCATAACTGTGGATGGAAACAGAACTGAGGCTTCAGCATTGTCTGTAGCAAACGGGAACTGTCCACATAACAAGTTTTAGCTATAATTTTGTGACCAGAAAGTGAACGTGATCACTTAAGATACCAAGAAATATGGTTTAGTGCTGCCATCACAACCACCTTTGTGCATCCACACCTACTAGCTACACCATATTTATGTTAATTTTGGGACAATTAGGGCAGCTATCTCATGGTGCCTAGGGAAGTGATCGACTGCTAAAAGGACGTGTTCAGAGAAGCATCAACAGCACTTGGGGCAGCACAGTGTGGCGGACTCTACTACATGGAACTGGGAGGAAGAAGGCCTGCACTCAAACAATACGGTGCTGGTTAAAGGAACACAGCCATCTGCCATATTATATCACTGGCAGAGGGGAAATGTGGTTAACTGACCATGGTTGCTAAAAGACTTTAAACATTTTGTTTGGATCCAAAAACAAGTTAGAGCCAGTAACATGTTACAAACATGTTACCACTATGGGGTGCCTTAAACCTACACATTTCTAAAATAGATCTTATTCCCTGGGAATTCACTTATTCACTCAGCTACCAAATTTCCTTTGCTTAATAACTTTAAAAATTGTTTGCATTTCTACAATGTTCATTCTAGGCTCCACCTTTTCTTTCTTTTTTGTTACGAAGGACCTTCCCCTCAATTGTGGAGAGTTTGGAAGAAATAATTTGGGTTTATAATCCATTAATGTCAGAGTTCTCTGTAAGTTATCTCTGTGTGTGGGTATTTGCCAGCAAGGTTTGAATAGCTACAGTGCTGAGAGGGTGAAGGAAACTGAAAGGATCCATTGCCCTTGTTTTCCTTTTGGCATTATTTTAAACTTGTTTTCTTCCTGACTGCCATCTGAGGCTTGTTCATCCACACACATTGTGAGTTACCTTAAAGTAGTACATCAAAGTTCTCTGAGAGAATTAAAAACAAAGCTTATTGACACACAGTTAATTTTTTGAATAAGTAAGAGAAATCTGTCATTACACCTAGGATATTGCTGGGGAATTTCATACACAGAATTAGGGTAGTACACTACAGTAGAGGAAACTGCCTCATGGATCAGACCAGTGGCCTATCCACTCCAGTAACTTGTCCCTGGCACTGATCAAACCTGATGCTTTAAGAGGAAATTGCAAGAAACCATGCAGTGGACAATTATGGAAACTTTTCATAGGGGTGTTTTCATTTTAACTCAGTTTGCAGTTGGCGTATGGCCTGAAGCGTAAGGGTTTTAATCCTATCTAATGTTCTTGGCCTCTTTTGCCATGTAAATCCTTTTTTGAAATCTGCTAAACTCTTGGCCTCAACATCATGTGGCAATATATATTAATTATGCGTTCTGGTAAATATATTTCCTTTTACCCATTTTAAATTTGCTGTCGTTCAGTTTAATTGAAAAGCTCCTTGTTCTTGTAGAGAGAGAAGAGGGTAGCTTGGAGTGTCTGATACATCTTCTCCATATCATTCATTACTTGGTCTACCTCCGTCTTTTCTCTAAACAGTCCCAATATTTTCAGTCTTTCCTGATACAGCAGACATTTATTGTTTCTAATTATTTTTGACAGTTATCTCTGAACACTTGTTTCTGCTGTCATTTTTGGCATGGGGTGATCAGTCTCATTTCTTGTTTTTAAATAGCCATCTTTCTAAAGTTTAGTGTCAATATTAATTTTTGGCACGATTCCATGGCATGAACAACTATAGTGAGGTACTGGTGGGTTGACCATTGTTACTGCTTCATTCAAGTTGTATGTGTCCTTTAGGATTAAGTTAAAAATAGAATAAGTTTTAATAGGCTGGCCTTTAAATCAGTGGTACAAAATTGTTAAAGTTACTACCTCAAGAAAAAATCTACTAACTGCCCTTTGGTGCATGAAGTATCAATATTTTTATTATCATGGTAATCAGGAAAAATCCTTGAGCAAAAGGAGGAGTGGAATTTTGAAAAGTGTTGGTTAAGCATAATATAAAGAAGAGGGAAGATGATAGTTCTGTTGGTTTTGACTTGTATATCCCTTGTTATGTTGACAGAACATGGAGAAAATTGCTGTAAACTGATACAATCTGAGCTTTTGCTTACTTAGAATACGTATATATTAAAGGTTTTTATCTATCCAAGAATAAGCCATACATACTGGAAAGCTGTCTATGCTTCTGCAGGTACAATACCAGATTCTCTAAGATACTGACCAATATCCAGGGGTTCTCAAACTGGGGGTCAGGACCCCTCACAGGGTCGCAAGGTTATTACACGGGGGTCTTGAGCTGTCCGCCTCCAACCCAAACCCCACTTTGCCCCCAGCATTTATAATGGTGTTAAATATATAAAAAAGTGATTTTAATTTATAAGGGGGGGGGTCGCACTCAGAGGCTTGCTATGTGAAAAGGGTCACCAGTACAAAAGTTTGAGAACCACTGTGTTACACACTGTAGTGTGCTGTGAACACAAGTGAATGAAACAGACTACTATGTGTATTTACCCTATAAAATCCTGGTAAAGTGGATGAAATCTTGAAATCAAGTCTTTTTATGGACTCAGTGTAGTACAAATAGTCTGTACTGACAATATACTTCATTTATACTGGTACTGTATCAGAGGAGCTGTAGGAGTATAAAATTTGGTGCACAGTTTTAAAAATGAATATATATTTATACTGGCATCTGTTCTCATGCATGTGTGTATATATAGTATTATTATTGAATAGTGGCATATAGCTTTAAGAAGCTGAGAATTTATTTGAGAGAAGGATTCAAATCTTACTGTTTCTAGCGCCTAGAGATAGTAGTGGCTAGGAGGTGGTATTGTGTGTTTAAAGGGATGTAAGCATTATATTTGTCACTATCTTAAGGATCAGGAGAGGCATGAATGGATTTCAGTTCATCTCTCTTGCTAGAGGATAGTCTCATTGCAAGAGGCCTGGGGAAGTGGGAGAATGAGATAAGGCCTTTATGAAAGCACGTTTAGCTTGTATATCTTCCACCACCTGTTCTTTTGTTCTCTCTCCCCCATTACTATAGTCTGACTTGCATCGCCCAATCAGTTTTCTCTTCCCATCCCCTCAAACATAGAATGACCTTTGCCTGATGGGAATTGTGTTCCATAAAGAGTAACACCAGATGGTAGCAATTTAGATTAGGGGATATGCAGAAGCTAAATGAAGGGGAAATGATGAGAACTTTTAATTGGGTTTATACAGTAGCTGTTCTTCACATTTTAATTTTTTTTCATATTATGGGACAGGCCCTTTTGGAAAAATAGCCAGTAGAACTTTTTAAATAAAAATATCTGATGTTAGTTAAAACACAGAATTCTGAAAGCAACCAAAATACCTTTTATTCTGCTTTTTCTGATATTCTCCAGGGCCCAGAAGTTAGAAGTCAAGTTTTACTCCTCCATAATAAGTTAAAATGAATGTCATAAACATCTTACACAAAAAATGTATAGGCTTTATAATGGTAACACTGACAAATCCTTACCCAAGCTGATGCTGCACAGGCAAGGCTATCATGTCCAGTATGGTATTCAGACATTTCTGATTTCTGTAGTGTTAATTTTGTGTTCTTCCTCTACTTGTATAGATTGCTTTTTTTTTTTTTTTTAAAGAAATGTAACATTGTGAAACAGTTTAAAGCTTCTCTTTGTAATTCTAATAGCAATTATGAATATGATGTCTCTTGGTCACTGTAGTTTATCAGCTCCTAAAAGCATTAATTTGAGCATTAAATTTAAAGCATTTAATTATACTGGGTAAAATTTATCAAATCCTATCAATGCCTAGGCCTGTCTTAAAGGAATAGGTAGTAGAAATAGATGGGTTACAATTTTGGAAAATATTTGAAATTTTCTTTGCATTCTGAATTGGCGTAATGCATTAATTTTTGTATGCATGAGCTTTTCAGCCTCTGATATTTCAGTGTATTTCTGTTCTGATTTCACTGATTTATGTCAACCTGCAAGTTCACTCTGTTAAAACTAAAGTTGTCTAAATATCTTTCTTTAGTCTGACCTGAAATGTGTTCAGGATGCCAAAGGAGGCTCTTTCTACAGGGACCACTGTCCTGTGCTAGGTGAGTTGGAGAAGGAAAGAAATAGATAGTTTTAAGTAAATAGAAACATTTTAGTGCCCCAAGTCAGTTTGTTTGATGACTGAACCAAAATCAGTCAACGTTCCTTAACAGGATGCACCAAATAATTGAGATTTGAATGGTGGCATTTCTGTGCATTACCATGGTTAAATGCTGCAATGATAATTGGTATCTTAATTGATATGTTTTAACTGTCTTTAGATATGTTTGATGTCAAACAGTATACCAAATATGTAGCTGGTAAGTTGTTAAAGTTGGCTGTCTAGTTCATGTTTCTGGCTTACATGTGCTCAGCCTTTAGATTTTTCTCTTAATAGCAAAAGATAACTGCACAGTATTGTAGAATGGTTTAAACATAATTTTAATGCAATATTGAAAATTTGATCGTAAACATGAAGTCATCAGCATTAAAATTTCTAACTAAATATCTGTAATTTGTCATAGTGGCTTATTCTGTTACATAGGTTGTGAGCTATTCTATAGACGTATATACTGGTTCGTAAGCCGAATATTTTTGGTAAAAAAGTGACGCATCAGAGAGCGGGGGTCGACTTATAAACGGGACTACACCAAAATTTGATGATTTTAAACGCTGTGGAATCATTGAATTGAATACACCTCTACCCCGATATAACATGAATTCAGATATAACGCGGTAAAGCAGTGCTCCGGGAGGGCGGGACTGCGCACTCCGGTGGATCAAAGCAAGTTCGATGTAATGTGGTTTCACCTATAACACGGTAAGATTTTTTGGCCCCCGAGGACAGCGTTATATCGAGGTAGAGGTGTATCTAATACATGGTCGTTTTGTTTACCTGGAGCGTCTACAGACATGGGGCCCCTCAGCTCCCTGTGGCTGCGGTTCACTGTTCCCAGCCAATGGGAGCTGTGGGAAGTGGTGTGTCACATCCCGTAACTCCCATTGGCTGGGAACGGCGAACTGCGGCCACAGGGACTTGAGGGGCTCCATGCCTGCAGACGCTCCAAGTAAACAAAACGTCCCTACCTGCCAGCGGTCGGGACGTCCCGACGTGACAGCTGGGAGCCAAAGTTTGCTAACCCCTGAAATACAGGGTTGGCTTATGAAAGGGTCATACAGTGTTTGCTATTTTTACCTAACCATCTTGGGGGGTCGGCTTATAAACGAACTGGCTAATGAACTAGTATATACAGTAGGTTCTATATACATTCTATACATTGCACTCACCACTCTAGTATCTAAGCTGCGTGGTGGTATGTGGGTGTACTTTATTACAAAAGTAGTTGCAGGCTATGTTTGGTTTTTGAGGTGTAGGTGAGTTAAGAGATAAAGTCCAGGAAGGTTTGGTGCAGAAGTTCCTTAGTGTGTATATATAGTAGACAACATATGTAGACCTTGACTTAAGAGGGAAGGGAATGTGCCAAGTAGCACATCTTTAAAACTGTGCACTTGGCAGGTGTTAGATATCTTCTTGAAGTTATCTTTATTGCACTTACAGATGTTGATTTGGATATTTAGTGTTCTTGTTTCTTTCATTCAATTTCAGGTGAGCAAAATGGTAACAGGAATCCTGGTGGGTTGCAGATTGGTGATCTGGTAAACATTGATCTTGATTTAGAAATTGTACAGTCTTTGCAGCATGGTCATGGGGGATGGACTGATGGCATGTTTGAGACCTTAACCACCACTGGCACAGTTTGTGGCATTGATGAAGATCATGACATAGTAGTACAGTATCCAAGCGGCAACAGGTTTGTTACATATTCTCAAACCTTTCCTCTGACAGACTTCCTTTAACTTCACAAGTTGCAGGGCCTGAATTTTTTAATTTTTTTTAACCCTTCTTTGGTTCTCACCACATCCCACCATCCAAATAAGAGTTTCTGTCTTCTTCCTGGCTTGTGTAATAGGGGGTTCCCATCTACCAGAGCCCAATGATAAAAACCTTTCTAGCATGTGTAAGAGATTTTGATGGGAAAGAGATTATTTGCCATTTTCTCACCTTTAAACTGCCTTTAGTTTAATATTTGTGATGTTTATGATATGACGTCTTTTTTTCTAAAATGTCCCTTTAAGTTTTATTTTAATGTATGTTGCCTATCAGATAAAGGTATTTATTAAAGTTATTAATTCTCTAAGTAATTAAAATGGTTACGTCCAAAAATTTCACAATATGAATGTTTCACAGCTCCATGCACTAAGCATGAAGCCATGATTGCATATAGCTCTCAGTAGTGTATGTGTTTATTTCTTTTGTCTGTGTCCTTAGGGAGCATTTTTTGAGAACTAGTGTACTACCATACAGTAGAGGCTAATGTGATACTTATGTCCAGCATGAAGGCAGACAATCCCTTGATTCCTATGTAATAGGTATTGCCAAATGTGACCACTGGAGAACAAATTAAGAGTCCCAGTAATTTCAACATATCTATACTATATTCCATATAACAATAAATTTAAGCATCTCCGAGTATATTTATTGTGCAAGGCTATTTATCTTTACGGATTTTGTTCCAAATATAAAACTGAATAAGTATGTGTACATACATACATACATATGTGTATACTTATTCAGTTTTATATTTGGAACAAAATCTGTAAAAATAAATAGCCTTGCACAATAAATATACTCGGAGATGCTTAAATTTATTGTTATGAGATTTCACAGCAGAGTCCATCTGCTCAGTGTGGTACTTTGTACTTCGTATCCTTGTTTCTCTTCCAAATTGTAAATCCAAGCTGCAAATTTATCGCCTCTTGGGTTTGAACAGGTCCTTGTTTTCTGAAGATGCTGCTCTTACAAAGGAGAGTGAGGCGTAAGTGGTTCTGATCACCAATGGCTAAGCTAGAGGATATTGCTTTTCTGATATGTGAGCATGCATTGCCTTCCCAGTTTGCTAATGTAGTAAAAAGCATAAGGAAAATCATGTGTAGCTGAAAGTGATCATTTACTTTTCTCAACCTGAATATGTTTGTTCAGTTACATTTGTGACAAGTTGGATCACAGAAACCCCCTGGGGGCTGCCAACTGATGTGCCAAGACTACTTCTGCCCCTGCTTTCCCTGCCCTCCCAGCTTGGGACTTCAGTGCCCTGCCTGTTTTGAGCCAGACCTGCTAGCCTGCTACAAACCCAGACCCAGGTCTGAACCATGTCCCCTAACAGCTGTAGGCTTAAACTGAAAGCAGCTTAAGAAGTGTTCCTGTCTTTAACACTTAGATGCCCAACTCCCAATGGGGTCCAAACCCCAAATAAATCCGTTTTATCCTGTATAAAGCTTATAAATTGTTCGCACTCTATAACACTGATAGAGAGGTATGCACAGCTGTTTGCCCCCCCCCCCCCAGTATTAATACATACTCTGGGTTAATTAATAAGTAAAAAGTGATTTTATTAAATACAGAAAGTAGGATTTAAGTGGTTCCAAGTAATAGGAGACAGAACAAAGTGAATTACCAAACAAAATGAAATAAAATAAAACATGCAAGCCTATGCCTAGTACAGTAATAAAACTGAATACAGATAAAATCTCACCCTCAGATGTTTCAATAAGTTTCTTTCACAGACTGGACGCCTTCCTAGTCTGGGCACAATCCTTTCCACTGGTACAGCCCCTGTTCCAGCTCAGGTGGTAGCTAGGGGATTTCTCATGATGGCCGCCCCATTTGTTCTGTTCCACCCACTTATATAGCTTTGGCACAAGGGGGGAATCTTTTGTCTCTCTGGCCCCTCTAAATGGAAAAGCACCAGGTTAAAGATGGATTCCAGTTCAAGTGACATGATCACGTCACTGTAAGACTTCATTACCCACTTGCCAGCACACACACGTATACAGGAAGACTTACAAGTAAACAGACATCTACAGACAATTGTCCTGGTTAATGGGAGCCATCAAGATTCCAAACCACCATAGGCCCTCAGAGTTATATTTCATATTTCTAGTTTCAGATACAAGAGTGATACATTTATACAAATAGGATAAGCACACTCACTAGATTATAAGCTTTGTAATGATACCTTACAAGAGACCTTTTGCATGAAGTATATTTTAGTTACATTATATTCACACTCATCAGCATATTTTCATAAAATCATAGAGTGCAACGTCACAACATTAAGTTACAATAGCTATTTATTTGGGTTTTGTTTTTAATAAGTTATCTTAACTTTTAGGCAGCTGTCTTTCAGCAAACCATTTAGTTGTAGGGAGAAATGGTGTAAGTCCTCCAGTCTCATGATTTCTTAGAAGATATACTTTGTGTGATGATATTAAAAGCCAACCTGTAACTTGTTAATTGAAATATAGAGACGCCTTACACAAACACATATATTTGTAATCTTTGTATTTCTCCAAAATAAGAAAGCTCCATATTTCTAAAACAAAAGTGAATGGAAAGAGAATTGTATAGTGCTCAAAAGTGTTAGGCACTTGATTGAGAACAAATTCATTCCCTACCATAGTAACCTTTTAAGCAACAGTTTGATTACAAAATCTGCTTCTGGTTTACTGGGGCTGTGGTACTAGACACACAGGGACTATCTGCAGAAAAATAGCTCTGGACGCACATGTTTGTCTTAGGGCATGGCTACACTTGCAAATGTAGAGCGCTTTGAGTTAAACCAGCCTTCTTAGAGCGCAGTAGGGAAAGCACTGTAGTCTGTCCACACTGACAGCTGCAAGCACACTGGCGTGGCCACATTCGCAGCACTTGCAGTGGCATTGGGAGCAGTGCATAGTGGGCAGCTATCCCACAGAGCATCTCTTCCCATTCTGGTGCTGTGGCTTGTTTGGAGGGTGTGGGGCATTCTGGGTCCTGTCCCAACGCCCCGTGATGCATCGGTTCGCATCCCAGCAATCCCTCTGCTTCCGTCCACAATTGGCGCCATCTTTCAGTGTTTTTTGTACTGCGCGCTCTGAGCCCAAACTGCTGAGGAATATGCTGATGAGTCTCGCCAGCACATCACGTTTGGCAGTCGAGTTATTCCTTAAGATCCAAAGTGACAGTGAGGACTCCGACGATATCGACTCGAGTAACGCATACGACACGAGTGGAACACCGCTTTTGGGCTCGGGAAACCAGCACTGAGTGGTGGGATCATATCGTCGTGCAAGTCTGGGATGACAAGCAGTGGCTGCAGAACTTTCGGATGAGAAAAGCCACTTTCATGGGACTGTGATGAGCTCGCCCCCACCCTGCGGCGCAAGGACACGAGCTTGAGAGTTGCCCTGATGGTGTAGAAGCGGGTGGCTGTTGCAATCTGGAAGCTGGCAACTCCAGACAGTTACCGATTGGTCGCTAACCAGTTTGGAATGGGGAAGTCGATCGTTGGAATTGTGTTGATACAAGTTTGCAGGGCCATTAATCGCATCCTGCTCAGAAGAACCGTGACTCTGGGTAACATGCATGACATTATGGCTGGCTTTGCACAAATGGGTTTCCCTAACTGCGGAGGGGCGATAGATGGGACACATATTCCAATTCTGGTACCAGCCCACCTAGCCTCCGAGTACGTTAATCAGAAGGGCTATTTCTCTGTGGTTCTCCAGGCGCTTGTGGATCACCGTGGGCGTTTCATTGACATTAACGCAGGCTGGCCTGGAAAGGTGAATGACGCACACATCTTTTGGAACACTGGCCTGTTCAGGAAGCTGCAAGCCGAAACTTTTTTCCCAGACCAGAAGATCACCGTAGGGGAAGTCAAAATGCCCAATGTGATCCTTGGAGACCCCGCTTATCCTTTAATGCTGTGGCTCATGAAACCCTACACAGGCAGCCTTGACAGCAGCAAGGAGCGGTTCAACAACAGGCTGAGCCGGTGCAGAATGACCGTAGAGTGTGCTTTTGGCCATTTAAAGGGCTGCTGGCGCTCTCTGTGTGGGAAGCTGGACCTAGCCGATAACAGCATCCCCGTGGTTATATCCGTGTGCTGTACCCTCCATAACATTTGTGAAGAGAAGGGTGAAAGATTCACTCAGGCATGGAACTCGGAGGTACAACACCTGGAGGCTGAATTTGAACAGCCAGAGAGCAGGGCTATTAGAGGGGCCCAGCGCGGGGCTGCAAGGATTAGGGATGCCGTGAGGGAGCAATTTGAGGCTGAAAGCCACCAGTAATGTCTGATGCCCTGCATGGAAGTGAAGTGCAGTGGTTCCAATGTTAGTAGGAATCTGTGCTTGCTACGTATGATACACTGACTTGCAGTGCCTGTTGCTTTCCTGGGCTAAGGTATCTTTTACTTTATGGAATAATAAAGAAATGTTTTCAAAGCAAAAAAATCCATTTATTGAAAAGAAACACAACTGCTTGGGAAACAGAAAGGGCAAAGGGGTGGGGTGGAGAATGGTACAATCACAGATTTGCATATGTCCTGTTATCATACTCAGCCTTCCTGTTTGGAGTGCTGTGCAATGAGTGCTGCACTTCAGGATGGCTATACTACATGGTGATGGGGGTTGAGTGCAGTGGGTAAGGGTTGTAGTTTTCAGGGCTGGGTAATGAAGCTACAGGTGTTGAAGGCAGCTGGTGGCAATAAGAACCCGGATTTTGGGGAAAGTGGGTTGGAGGTGACATGGGGGCACAAGGGAAAGAGTTTTGGTACAAGGGCTGCAGGGAGGGGGAGGCTTGGTAGTGCTCTGCCTGCATGGCTACGAGCGCCTGTATCGAGTCCGCTTGGCGCGCCATGATGCTTATCACTTGCTCCGTGCTTTGGTGCCAGCGATCCGCATTCTGCTGGCAGACCCTCCTTTCACTCTCCTGCCACTCCTGGAATTTTTTGATTTTCATTAAGGGAGTGCTGCATGACTTCATGCAGCATGTCCTCTTTGCTTCTGTGTGGCCTCTTCCTGATTCTTTGCAGCCTCTCAACTGGTGATAACACGGATGACTGAGATCTCAAGGTTGCATCTGTGAAGGCAAAATGCAACACTTAACAGAGGCAGCATTGTTCACACCAGACAGAGCGATTCCCCCGTACTTAAGGAGGGCAAGCACAACCTACACAATAGCATAATTTGCCCATCCCAAAGCGAGCGCACATAGCGCACATAACCCACGGGAGCCCCAAAATGGTGAGTAAGCACAGAGTCAAGGGGGACTGATTCTTTCATGGCTGTACTGTCCTCTGGGTTTCTGTGCCTGGGGGAGAGCCAACAGCTGCAGGGGGCCCCTATACTGTCCCCACGTTTTCCATAGGAGTTCATCCTGGAAGATATCTTACTGCTGAGGGTGACCTGGGAAGCAAGGGAGGGTCTTCTACTATAATGCAGCTTCTGCCCGGGCCCATATGCAGCTTGCCTGTGTGCAGCAATGATCTCCCCGCCCCTCAAGGCACAGTGGCGCAGACATGTTAGCCTGACTGGGACAAGGACCACAGTGGCTCTCCCACGAAACCTGTGCAAGCGCATGGCCCAAGTTCTGGCTGAGACCTTTGAAGAGATCGCTGAGGCTGTTTACCGCGATGTGAGAGAGCACATCAACGCTCTATTCCGCATCTAGGCTTGAATGCAGCCCTAACCCTCCTCGCCCCAAGAGCCCACACTGAATAACTTCCTTCCCAACATAAAAGCCACTTACTGGGAACCTCCTCTGGTGTTTGTCCTTCCCCAAGCACCGGCCGCTGCGACTGGCTACCTTCCTCCTGAGAACAGCTCCTGGCTGCATGCATCTAGGGATGTCGGGGTGTCTTCCTCCTCCTCAGCACCCTTGCTCCCGCTTTGCTGCTCCTCCTCCTCCCTTGTTGGACTGGGCTCTGAAGTGTCCATGGTGGTGTTCGGAGTGGAGGTGGGGTCACCCTCAAATATCACGTCCAGCTCTTTGTAGAAACGGCAGGTCGCAGGGGCAGCACCGGAGCAGCTGTTTGTCTCGCGAGCTTTGCAGTAGGCATTCCGCAGCTCCTTCACTTTAACTCTGAACTGCAGAGCGTCCTGGTCATGGCCCCTTTCCATCACGTCCCTTAATATCTGCGTGAAGGTATTGTAATTCCTATGGCTGGAGCGCAGCTGGAACTGGACAGCTTCCTCCCCCCAAACACTGATGTCCAGCACCTCGCCATTGCTCCATACTAGGGATCGCTTGGCCCGTGGAGGCATGGTCACCTGGAAAGATTTGCTGAGAGCACTCCACGCCTGGCTGAGCAAACAGGAAGGGGATTTTCAAAATTCCCAGAGAATTTAAAGGGCGGGTCTGACGGTTGGTCACCTGAGGGCAGGGCAGTAGAGTTCAAACTGATGACCAGAGTGGCTAGAACAGGCATTGTGGGACACTTCTGGAGGCCAATCAGAACGCATTAATAGACCAGGGCGTCCACACTGGCGCCGCGGCGCTCCAGCGGGGGCACATCAAACGTTATTCCACTTGCCGAGGTGGAGTACCAGGAGCACTCTAGCCGCGGAGTCAGAGCGCTCTAAGTGCCTTGCCAGTTCGGACGGGTTGTGAGTTAGAGCGCACTGGGCTGCTTTAATGCGCTCAAACTCGCAAGTGTAGCCATACTCTTAGTCATGTGCTGTTTTTTTTAATATAAATTAGCATAAAAAAAAGTAAGTGCACACAAACCAATACATTGCATGGTACAAATCAAAATAGTTTAACCAAATTTCTGGCTGCAGGCCATATATCTACTTGAAATAGGATTTTCCTATCTGTCCAACCTCGTCTCTGAGGAAAGAAGAAAAACCCTGTATTTAGATTCCAACCCCTCTCCTTTCCCTATCAATTCTTGCCAGAGCAATCCATCCATATCAGTTATCCTGAGTCCTTCCCTTTCCTTACTGTATTTTGAGAGGAATGCCAGACTCTCAGGCCACTAATCCCTGCCCTAGTTGATGAGTCCATCCTCTTCTCCCACCCTCCCCCCTCCTCCTCCCAAGCAAACAAACCAAAACCCCAGTCACTACACAGCTGCCATTATATGGCTGGCAGCTTTTACCCTCAGGCCGCAAGAACCAACCATGGGAACGTTCTGACTGCTTCAGGTGCACCTCTCGGAAGATTACCCTTGCAACCTCCCGCTGATAAACTAAGTGGAAATTTATGGGGAAAGTGATTAACAGCAGCTAAGCCATAGTGTCCAATCACAAAAATTTCTGGGCACAAAAGCACAACTTTAGGCAACAAGTAACCTTTTAAAATATAGCACCCACTTTTTATATTAAAAAAGAAAAGATAATTAATTTGAAATACATTATTTTCTAGGTGGACATTTAATCCAGCTGTTCTCACCAAAGCTAATGTTGTCCGAAGTGGAGATGCTGCTCAAGGTGCAGAAGGAGGTACCTCACAGTTTCAAGTGGGTGACCTTGTTCAAGTTTGTTATGATTTAGAACGAATCAAGCTTCTTCAAAGAGGTCATGGAGAATGGGCTGAAGCAATGCTCCCTGTAAGTATGTGTGTACACACAATGGTATGTTGGTATTAGGGTGACCAGATCACTGACAGGAAATATCGGGATGCGGGGGGCGGAAAAAAAAAAACCACCACCCAAAAAAAAAGGCCGTTCTGCAGGTGCCAGGGGAATTAGCAGGCCCCAGCCGCACAGCGGCTGCTGCCCGCCGCCCCCCCTAGGGCCCCAGGCACATGCGGCATGTCCCGCCGCCCCGCGGGGAAGGAGCTGCTGGAGTGAGAGGAGCGGGGCTCCGGACCCCGGCAGCGGCGGGGGAGAGCGGCTCAGGGCCGCGCGAGTGGGCATGTAAAGTTTATCGGCTGGGGGGGACCCCGGCCGGCTCCTCGCCCTGCCCTGTAGGGGGGTAGCGTCCCTGCCCCGTGCCAGCATGTTGCGCCGGCTGCCGCAGGCCAGGTAAGGAGCTGAGTCCCACCTCCCCCCTCGTCCTGGCTCCTCAACTGAGCGGCATTCCTCCTCCCTCCCAGGCTTGCAGCTGTAATGGCGGCGCAAGCCTGGAGGGATGGAGCTGGTGAGTATGAGCTCCGGCACCGGGCGGGCAAGGGGGGCTGGCAAGGGGGCTGCTCCCCCAGGAGGGCGACGTGGGGCTCAGCTGAGGAGCCAGGATGAAGGGGGGACTCGGCTCCTTACCTGGCCTGTGGCGGCTGGCGCAACATGCTGGCACGGGGCGGGGACGCTACCCCCCTACAGGGGCGTGGAGCCAGTGTGACGACACCGGCCGGGGTCCCCCTCGAGCCGATAAACTTTACATGGCCACTTGTGCGGCCCCGAGCTGCTCTCCCCTGCCACTGCCGGGGTCCGGACCCCCCCCCCCCGTCTCCCTCCCGGGGGAGCAGCCCCCTTGCCAGCCCCCCTTGCCCGCCCGGTGCCCGTACTCACCAGCTCCAGGAACTGGAAGCCGGACACCACCCCCGCCCTTACAGCAGCAAGCCTGGGAGGGAGGAGGAATGCCACATGCTTGGGGAAGAGGCGGGGCCAGGGCGGGGATTTGGGGAGGGAGCAAATGGGGGAAGGAGGGGGTGGAGTCGGGGGGGGGGGCGGCGAGAGCCCTTCCGGAAGGGCAAAATTGCTTGTTTATCCAGTGTTCCGACTGCACATCGGTTGGGACATGAGACAAACAAGCAAATATCGGGACAGTTCCGATAAAATCAGGACGTCTGGTCACCCTAGTTGGTATGGTATTTTTAATTACACTTGGAAGTGGTTGAACCTTCAAATTATTGGAGTTTTAGACCTTGTCTAGACTAGGGGGAAAAAATACTTTTTTTCAGTTGAATTAGCTAAATTGAGCTAGTATAATTCTGTGGAAAGCCCTACTTAATAGCAATGTAGACTCAGTTTAACAATCTGCCTAGCCTATACCTCAGCCTGTTAGAATTAAGGTGAAGGTGTTACTGATATTAAAGTGGAGTTTCAGAAACCCTTTTACTTTATAAAACTGTCCATATGCTGTAATATGTTAACATCTAAATATCTTTACTTGATCTTTCTTTTCCTCAATACAGACTTTAGGTAAAGTTGGCCGGGTCCAGCAGATTTATTCAGACAGTGACTTAAAGGTAGAGGTTTGTGGGACCTCTTGGACATACAATCCAGCAGCTGTCTCAAAGGTGGCATCAGCAGGATCAGCTATAAGCAATGCATCTGGTGGTAAGTTTGCGTACTATTTAGGAATGTGTGGTTTTGATAAATAAAATTGTGTAAACTTAAAAAATTGGTGATAAATATTGGTATGACGCCTATATGAAGCAAGAATAATAATCTCCAGGAAAGAAGTTCCTTCTGAGGGCTGGGGAAAACTCCCATTGCAGAAGAATTTCCGTGCTGGATCGTGCCTGTTGTCCATCTAGTCCAGTATCTTGCTTCAGAGGAAAGTACAAGGAATTGTATAGTAGGCAGATGTGGGATAAACTGCTTCTCAAAAAAAGTGTAATCTTCACCTCTATTAGCTAAAAATCTAAAGCACTGTTTATCAGAATACAAAGAAATAGTGCCTAAAGGCCCTGAGTCAGGATTGGAGTCCCATTGTGCTAGGCACTGCAAACATATATAATAGTCTCTGCTCCAAAAGCTTACAGTTAAGAGACGATAGGTGGGAGCGAGGTAAAGATGTAAAATGGATTCTGTGACTTTCAGAGACCTCCATGACATTTTCAGCTTCAGCCTGGTGCCGGGGGCGGGGAGGGGTCTGGAGCTGTTAGTCCCCTTTCCCCCACAGTTATGCAACCCCTCCCCCCCCTTTTTTTTTTAAGTAAAAGTCACAGACAGGTCTGTGAATTTTTGTTTATTGCCCACGACCCGTGACTTTTACTAAAAATAACAGTGACAAAATTTTAACCTTAATTATGAGGCAGGAAGAATAGACATACTCAATCTATCTTTTTCATACTGTTCTTTATTTCGAGATGGACTTCTGAGAAACTTCTTTATTAATAAACCTGTGCTTTCCTCTTTGGGCACACCTTGAGTCTCCTTTCCTCGTCATATTTGGCTTTGATGCCACAAAAACATTCTGGGTAGCTCTCATACTTTCTCCCATTGTCTCCTATTGTTGAATGCTAAGTTAAGTTTCCCTAATACATATGAATTTCCTGTGAGAGATACTGTAGGGCTGCAGCAGCTGTAAGATGATCTATACGTCTGGCACGTCACTTTGTGTGTAAAGCCCTGGAGGAAAGTCTGTATTTTTAATTAACTTCCTCTAAAAAAGCAGAAATCCAATATACTGGCCTGTAAATCTATAACATTTTTCCTGTTTCAGTCCCATCTATTTGTATTGTCAAAACCACTCAGGCAGGAATCCTAACTGTAGAGTGAAACTGATCATCTTTGAGTAAATTTGAAGTTTCTCAACTGATGAGAAACTGATGTCAGTGAGTTAGAGCTTTGTAGTGCTGAGGTGTTGTACTAAGTGATAAACTGAATGACTACTTGTGTAAGTCTCTTCAGATAGAAAAAACAGCCAAATTTGTTGTTCTCTGTTTGGAGTTGTGATCTTACATGCTTTGTTTGATATCTGTAGAGAGATTGTCCCAACTTTTGAAGAAACTGTTCGAAACACAAGAATCTGGGGACCTCAACGAAGAACTTGTTAAAGCTGCTGCTAATGGAGATGTAGCTAAAGTGGAAGATTTGCTAAAGAGACCGGATGTGGATGTGAGTGTCTTTTTGTGTGTGACTTCTAACGCACAGGAAATACAAGAAATCCCAAATCCTCTGCTAGGGATTCCCCTTGCATGGATGAATCCCCCGTGTGCAGAGAGTTGGCATAGCTGATTCCTGTGCCTCTCTTCCACAGCCTCAGGAAGTGGGGGAGGGGTTAGAAGCCACTGTGTTGCAGCCATTCACAGTGAACATATTTTTTTGTACCATATGCCATTTGGCATGAATTAGAGCAGCCTTCAAGCTATTCTAAGTAGGGCTGAGGTAGAGAATTGAGTAGTCATAAATGGTGGTTGTCCTTAACTTCTCTTATCTCCTAGGTGGCTTTGTGGTGTAGGGAGAACCATCCTCATCTAGGCACTTCCCTAGACTGCTGAGCCAATCGAGCTGCTAGCTTGTTCTTCCTGATGTTCTTGCAGCACAGTGGAGAAGCTTCTTCCTCCTCCCTATAGTCAAAACACTTCAGAATCATAGGGCTCAGCTTGGTTCAGAATGTGTTTCAGTTCCCAATCAAATACATATTTTCTTTTTAATTCATTTGCTTTTGACGTCCAAAGGTTGGACATCTTAAACGTTGGCCTTAAACGTTAATTTGAATGTTAAATTAATTCAGATTTATACAAACAATAAAAAGGAGTGTACATGCATGTCTGTAAGTCCCCTACCATAAATTAGGGGGAAAATAAATTCTGCAGAACACAACTGATTCCCTTCCAAGAAATCTGATTCTCTTCAAAAGTCCACCTTTGCAGCAGCCTGACTAAAATCTTCAAGCTAGCAATTTAATATTAAACTTTGACATATGTAAAAATCAGAATGACATTATTTCTTCATTCTTGTTAATGAATAAGAAGTGTAGAGATTTGAAAGCTGCTCAGATATTTGGTATGTTAGCCCTGATGGAGATGATTTAGTAGGCAGAGTGCAGGTGAAATGAAAGTTTCACAATAAACAGTTTTTAGAACATGGATATTTGCTGATATTATTGGTAGTAAATATCGGATATGCATGTGTATATATTGATGTACACTGTAATTTAACTTCACGTTCTTAATATACTTTCAGGTGAATGGGCAGTGTGCTGGACACACAGCTATGCAAGCAGCCAGTCAGAATGGACATGTTGACATTTTGAAATTACTTCTGAAACAGAACGTGGATGTGGAAGCGGAGGTAATTTAATTTAAAATATGCCTGTTTTTGTTAACTACTAAGTTTTAATACTGATATGTCACAATTACATTTTCTAGTTCATTTCTACCACTACATCTATTAATCGCTTCCATATTTTTGGGGGTCAGATGCATTTTATCTTCTGCACTGCACTCACTTAAGTCATTCTCTTGATGCTTTTTGTGTCCTAAGGCAATATTACATTCTTAGGCCTGGTTTACGTGATAAAATTAGGTCAGTTTAACTACATCAGTCAGGGGTGTGAAAAATCCACACCCCCTGAGTGGTGTAGTTAAGCTGATTTAAGTCCTCATGTAGACAGTGCTAGATTAACAGAAGAATTATATTGCCTCTTGAGGAGGTGAATTACCTATGCCTGTCGCTGTAGTGGTGCAGCGGTGTCGCTGAAGCGTTTTAAGTATAACTTTTGCCTTTCTTTTTTTACTCCTTTACCTGTCGGGATGATTATTGCAATCCCAATTACACCAGAGATGTAAAAGTAATTTTGAATAAAATAATACTTTTTTGAGAGGGATAGTGATGCCAAACCATCAGTGGTCTCAAGAGGTTCTATGTCACCTATCTTTTCATAACCACTGTTCCACATTGGTGGCAGGATCAAGTTAGGGGTGAGGGTGGCCAGTCTTCCTAACGGAGTGCTCTTAGTTTAAGATCTGTGGACTTTTAAAATATAAAAAAGTTAGTGGTCAATGGACAGCAGCAGTGAATTTATGTGCAGTGATATCTTTTATGAGCTTTTAAAAAAAATTAAACTGAAAATTTTTCATGGCAACATGACTCTCTTGCTCAGTGTGTGTGAGGGAGGATCATATTGTGATTAAGGCTGGGGGTCATGAGATCTGGGTTCTATTCCTTGTTGGCTAACTGACTTCTTGATTTCTCTGCATTAGCATTCTCTTTTGTTAAAAGATGGTGTTTCTTACCTTATTAATTGCATTTCATGCCATCAGTTAATATTTGTAAAGCATTTTGAGATCTTCTGAAAAGAGAGAAAGTAGTTTTGTTTTCCTGTTGGTCTGAGTGACCAAGATGGCTCCTCAGCTAATTCTGTCATCTGTTTTGTAAGGGAAAATAATCCTTCTCTTGAGATTAGCAGTTTAGCTAGTGTCATTTATTGAACATTTTCACTGGAGTCTTTAGTACTATATTACTTCTACATAATTACACAGAATTTAGTTTGGCTGAGTCATATTGGTTGGCTAATAAAATCCAGGGATGTATGTTTTAATAAACATTATGCCATTTGTTACTATGTGTAGGATTATTGTGCACAAATATGTGAGAAATGTTTCTACATTTTCTCCACACACTGTCTCCCTCATCTAAAGGGGAAAAATCTCTGAGGGATAAAATACATTAAATTCTTAAATTCTTTGTAGAATCTTTCTGCCTAATGGAGTGAAGTCTTTATAGAGAGGTAATTGAACTCCACTACAATAGTGTTCATCGTGTATTTCTTTTAGCACAGGCAAGTGTTTTCACATACTGCATTGCCTTTTTCTCGTTGATTTTTTTCAGTGTTATTCAGGGGGTGAAACTACATTCCCTGAATGCAGGATCACTTGAGGTTCACAGTTTGTTACATTTCAAAGTACCTAGCACAGTGGGGTCCTGATCCATGACTAAAGCTCCTAGACTTTATGATAATACAAATAATAAAAATGAAGTAGGAAGGAAGCACAGCCTAAATGTTGAATTTCTTAGGGCCTGATTCCTTAAACACTATGAATTGTTTTATACCAAAATTACATAACTGATTCTGGCAGCATAAAGATTAATGATACATTTGTATAGGATACACCATCTTGTGTGAATGTGCTGGATGAGGCGCTTCCTAACTTCCTTTCATTCATGTGAATGGGAAGCAGCACAAGGCCAGCCCTTTGCATGTGGGATGCAGACAAAACAGGCAGCTGGTAGTGCATTCTCCAAAGTAGATACTTTTCTTATTATGCATACATCATACAGTGTAGAGAGGGTTTCACATACTGAAAGTAAAGTAGGTTTGAGTTAAAGAAGACGTAGTAACTTGGCAAGAATTGCTCTAGAACAGCTTTGCTTCCATTTTATTTTTTTCATGCAAGATGAAGGAATTTTTTCGTGTTTTTCAGAATGATTGTTCATGAGAACTAAGGTTAAATACCTGCTTAGTTATTTAATACTATGCAAAATGCTCTGAAATCATTTTCAGTCCTGTTCATCTTTGGGTATAGAAGAAATTTATCTTAAAAAGTATATTCAGGTCTTATTTAAACATTTTGTCTTATTTAATTCATATGTATTAAATACTTGTAAAATTGTACAAAAGTACCACAGAACTGTACTAAAAATCTATGGAGGGGTGAGAGAAGGAAGACAACTGAAATTTCTCATTTATATTCCCAAAGTTGAATTTTCTTTGGAAATGTTGGCTTGTTGAGTGGGACAAATGGCTTGCCTTTTAAAAGGTACTTGCTTGCCATGATCTGACTTTCTGAATCAGATTACTGAAGAACAGTTGTCTGAAAATCATATATATCCTACTCTACTTGAGAGCTGGATTAAGCTGCTGAACAAGTGAACTGTTGGGTCAGAGATGGAGCTTTGATATGCTCTCCACTGGGACTGTTCAAGCAGAGGAGCTGCGGGGGTGGGGGGGGGGGGGGGGGGGGTGCTGGAGGTTGCTGCTACAGCTGGCTGTAACGGTGTGTATGGGGAGAGGTGCAACGAGGAAGACTGGTGGGGAAACTCCTAAAGAGAGTATTGCGGCAAGGATCAGGGAGCGGCTGAGTGGGAAGCTAGAGTTCAGCAAGACCCAGGGAACCGTGGCCAATGGGCGGTGCCTGTGGGCGGGGGCAGGGCTTAGAGCCCCCGTAGCTGCCCTTCCCCCTAGGAGCCGTAGGGACATGCCAGCTGCTTCCTGGGAGCCACATGGAGCCTGCACCCCTCACCTCCTCCACCCCAACCCCCTACCCCAGCCTGCCCCCCCCGCACCCTGAACCCCTCATTTCTGGCCCCACCCCAGAGCCTGCACCCCCAGCCCAGAGCCCGTACCCCCTCCCACATCCCAACCCCCTGCCTCAGCCCGGAGCCCTCTCCCATATTCTGAATCCTTTGACCCCAGCCTAGAGCCCCCTTCCTGCACTCCAAACCCCTCATTTCTGGCCCCACCCGGGAGCCCGCACCCACACCCCAACCCCCTGCCTCAGCCCAGTGAAAATGAATGAGTGAGGGTGGGGGGAGAGAGCGACGAAGGGAGGGGGGATGGAGTGAGCGGGGGCAGAGCCTCGGGGAATGAGCAGGGGGCGGGGCAAGGGTGTTCAGTTTTCTGCGATTAGAAAATTGGCAACCCTAGATTGAATAGAGAACGGGAGTGTTAAAAAACTGACTTTGGGTCATGGGGTGAGGGGTTGGATGGTAAGGAACACAGATAGAATTGCACTTAGGACATGCTCACTTGGGGTGGCTACTTCGTTGTGTTGTCTCCCCTGGGAACTGATTTAACCGGATACTGAACAGTGATGACTTATGCTTAATCAGGACAATATGTAACAATGCCACTTAATCAGGATGCATTTGATTAGTAATATAGGGCTCAAATGCTTATCTGGGTGTTAGCTAGGGTGACCAGATAGCAAGTGTAAAAAATCGGGACGGGGGTGAGGGGTAATAGGTGCCTATATAAGAAAAAGCCCCCAAAATCAGGACATCTGGTCACCCTAGTGTTAGCATTCTAGTCTTTCTGCAGAAGTTATTGAATAAATATTTTAAAAATCGATAAAATATTATAAATATTTGTTCAATAAAGTTTTTTTTTTTTAATTTTAATGTTTGGATTTTTTTTTTTTAAGGCCCCTTTTACTTGGGACAACTTCTTAGCTAGCTTTTTGGCAGCTCTAGGTAGTACAGTTAAGATTCTGCTGTATAGAAAATATGCGGTTTGGTATTTTTTCCCTAGAGTAACAACTTACTGAAGTTAGTTCTAGAAATAATGCACATATATATCTGGATGTCCACACTTTTAAAATAAAAGCACCTGCGTTTATTTTAATGATTCAGTAGTCTTTAAGTTCAGTCTTTTGGCTATGGAAATTAAATGGGGGAAAAATAATAGCTTACTTCATTAACATAGTATTGAAAAGTACTTAAAATTACTTAAATGTTTCATACAGTTATATATAATATTTCATTCTGGTGGATCCCAGAGCAGTTTGCAGATTGTAAACAAGTATGAATAGGAATAGCTTCTCTTCCCAATGAAAGAAAACACTCTGGAATGAAATGCAGCAGCTAACACAACACTACAATGCTATACAACAATTCAAGATGCGAGTTGAAGACAATCACGGTATGCAACTGAAAATGCAAGGGAAATTTAGAGAGGCAGAATGTAATTACCCAAGTTGAAATTTCATTCATCTTTAACACTTAGTCTTACAAAATGTGCCATGACATCTTTAATCACCAGTAATGTCAAACTATACAGAGCCTCCTTCAGGACAGTGATCCTGAATACCATGCTGGAACATTATCAGTGGCCAAGAAATACAGGAGAACACTTTCCTTCTGGACTGTGCTTAGACTTTGTGACTCTTCTTTTTCTTGATCCATTACTAGTGGATGAGAATGAACTTTATCTGTGGAAGACAATTTGGAAGCATTATGAACAAAAAATACACAAGGGTTTTAACAATGTCTTTGAAGGTTGCTGCTTTCTTCAATGGAAATCTTGTAAATTTAAATATTTCTAATACCGAGACAGAAAGGGACACTTTTAGGTTACCAGACATCTGTCTTTTGGTGGTTTGGCTTAAGTATGGATTTTCATCATTTTGTTTTTTAAATGTTCTTTGAGAGTGCAAATTTGACTTTTCATATCCTATTGGCAACTAGTCTGATCATACCAACTTACTGTCCGTCCCTTTACATAAAGACATGTTTTAATCTGTGAACTATTTAAATGTTTTATATAATCTAAATAATTTTAAACTTTTTAAAGCCACAGATTGTTTGTGGGGGAAAAAATTTGGTTTTATAAATCAAACTGTTCTGAAGACAGCTATAGTGGAATCCAGAGGAACCTTTTATGAAAAAAAATATTTACTATTTATCATCCTTGATATTTTCCAAGTGTCAGTAAGCTAGTGTATAGTAACATATTGAAATATTGCACTTTGCGCACATCTTGAGATTCAAAAAATACAACAATCCTGTTAATTTTATTTAGCTATTGCTCATTTGTATAGCATCCAGATTTGTATATTGGAATATAAGCTATCTTCATATATAATTGTCACTAATTGTAAAGAGTTTATATTTATATGCCCACCAAAGGGTTCATTTAATCTTTTTTTGTATAAATGTAGTATTGCAATCCTTTAACTCTTGTTTGTCAATTTAACCCTTCTTTAAAAGACAGTCTTAAAATATCCTTTTAGTTCTGTATTCATCTATCCTTTTTTTCAGCTTCTCTCTAATTCTAGGCTCATCCCTATAGAATTTGGGTTTTTTTTTTTTTATTAACTTGACAAAAAGTTTATCCTGACTTTTCTTGGAAGACTTTAATAGCTACAGTAAAAGCTGTGTTATCTGGCACTTTACCAACCAGAAAGCTCTAGAAACCGGCATTTTTGATATCCATTAAAAGTCCGGTTGGCACAGGGCCGGCAGGCTCCCTACGTGACTCTGTGTGGCTCCCTGGAAGCGGCGACATGTCCCTGCTGCTCCTAGGCGGAGGAACGACCACAGGGGCTCTGTGCGCTGCCCCGTCCACCCCGAGCGCTGGCTCTGGAGCTCCCATTGGCCGGGAGCTGCGGGGGCAGCGCCTGGGGCAGAAGTATTGCGCAGAGCTGCCTGGCCGTGCCTCCGCCTAGGAGCAGTAGGGACATGGCACTGCTTGTGGGTAGCCACCAGAGGTGAACGCCACCCAGATCCGGCACCCCAAAACCCCTCCCGTGCTCCAGCCCCCTGTTCTGAGCCCCCTCCTGCATCCAAATTTCCTCCCAGAGCCTGCTCCCCCTCCCGCGCCCAAACTCCCTCCCTCCATTGGTAAGTATAATTCTTAGTTAAGCAGAATTTTTGACTAACCGGCACCCCCCATTCCCTCAACATGCTGGATAACAAAGCTTTTACTGTATATAGATATTGTAGATAAGTGACAGCCCACTAGTTGTGTGATGTAGGTAATATTTGTTTTCTTCCTTGATCATTGCATATTGCACATAGATGTGTGTTCAGCTTCTGTTGCTGGGGCTTGATCGGTTTTGAACTAATTTCATACAGATTAGCTGAGTGTTTGAGTGGTGCCATGGACAGCTTTTTCTCTTAATTGTGGAAATGCAATAAAGATCCCTTAATTGATCATTTTGAAGTAAGCTTTTTATAATTGTGTAGTACAAACGGAATTTGTTTCAAGTCAGTGTTTACACTTTAGGACAAAGATGGAGACAGGGCTGTTCACCATGCAGCTTTTGGAGATGAAGGTGCTGTGATAGAGGTTTTGCACAGAGGCAGTGCAGATTTGAATGCTCGCAACAAACGCAGACAGACTCCACTTCATATTGCTGTTAACAAAGGTCATTTACAAGTTGTGAAGACTTTACTGGACTTTGGCTGTCATCCTAGTCTCCAGGTAAAACAAATTTTGACTTTCATTTTTTGTCTTCAAACTGTAAGATTTATGCAAATATGGTATGTGGATGCTGCATGTAGATGTATAAATCTTCCTATTAAGGCTGTTACATTGAATTGTTTTCTGTATTTCATATTGAAATTTAAAATGCACCTTGCTCTAGGCATGTGTATAATATTTTAAGCCTATATAGATTGGGTCAATGTACAAATATGTTTAACATGCAGATTAACTCTCTCTTCATCCAGTCAGCAACCCTTATCCTCCCCCACATATGTAATCTGGTAAGAGAAGCTTTGCAGCATGACCTTAAAGGCCAGCAAATTTAGACTGTCAGAAAAAGGGAGAAAACACCTTCCAGAGTTGAACCCATCAGACAGTATGTCTGCCACAAGACTTCCATTCAAACATGAAGTCTGTTATTGAGAGCCTCTGCTGCCATGGTATTACACAGGGAGGAATAACTGCCTCTGTAAACTAATTGGAAACTAGTGCAAACGGTACTGCAAAAGGAAAATACAGCCTCAAAAATGAACAAACAAAACCCCACTTCTAAATAAGCAGACAGTTACATTCTGCCTGACCTGAAGCTTCAACATAGCTGCATGCACAGTGCATTGCACATGTAAATCTAAAGATGAAAAAGGGTGGATAAATGTGCTGAGGTCAGCATCTGAAATAAAAGGTTGTAAAGCCCTAGGCAAATATGAATGATACAACACACTCCTACTGTTGCTATCTGGATATCCTTGTGCTTCAAACTCCACCAGTTTTTCCTATTTGTGCACCTTGGAAAGAAGAGGTGAGAACTTTCTTAAAGCAACTAATGTAGTAATTGCTATTTACTCAATTTATTTCCTCCTCGCCTACTACTTCCATCTTACTAGGGCTGAGGTATTATTTACAAGTATTACTTCCATCTTACTGAAGTAGAGCCTCAGCTAGCAAACTTTAATCCAGACCCCAGTTTCTGTAAGCATTGGATATAACAACCAGCCTGTTCTGTTTGGCTCAGTAATAGGGGCAATTGGGTGAAATTCAAATGGCCTGTGATATAAAGGAGGCTGGGCTATATCTATTGCTCCCTTTGGTCCGTAAACTCAATGAATCTATGAAACTACACCATCTACAGGCAATGCAAATCAGAAAATCCCTATGACAATAATACATTTTCAGATTCTGCACATGTGCAGAGAAGTCTAATGCGCATGCAGTTAAACAACTGATTTCACTGAGATGGATGAGAATGCAGGAGGCATTTGGGGTTGGGACTTGGCTGTAGATAACTGGCATGTTCTTTAGCTCTCAAGCCAACCCGCTGCACAAAGGAAAACAATTTAGTCTACATACAATAAGCTCAAGAAATCCGATTGGTTGGAATGAGTAAACTATATCATTTCATTTTGGTGGGCCAGTGCAGGATGTTTGCCAAATTTGGCAGATATTGCTGTTTTGGTGTCTGCTATTCCCACAGAAAAAGTTCTAAGGGATCCTTTTTACACTATGCTGCAGTGTGCTGCTAATTGATAAGCACTAGTGATGAAATACTGGCCCCACTGAAGTCAATTGCAAAACTCCTGTTGATTTCAGTATGGCCAGGATTTCACCCAGAAACATAAATCCTGAAAATATGCATCTCTGCAGCAGTACAATGAACTCAACTAAACACATTTTCCTACTGTAGGCATTATAGGATGCTTATTTTTAATTTAAAATGTTGGGTTTTTGAGCAAATTATGCACAAGTGTATTTTTTCTTTAATTTGGACTTTTCAAAACTAAAACCCCAGGAAGCTAAAAAAGTGAATATAAATTCTGTGGTCAGGTGTGTGCTGAAAAATTTCTGGCACCTTTAAACCGTGTATTGTCTTGTTGGTACTAGCCATAAATTATTTATAAAATGTAATGTTGCCCCATGAAATCTTCCCTTTTGCTTCATTAAAAATACAGCCTTGCACAAGTTTAACTATCCTGAGGGGGTGCACATTTTTCATTGGTCTGCTTTGTTCATATTATTTTTTAGAGGAGGTTTTAGCTTGAATTTTTGTATGACAGTTGTCTCAAACATGAAGATTAAATTTATGAACTATATATTTGAAATTTATGCTAGTAGACGTGAATTTTTATAAATCTTGAACTTAAAGAATTTTTAATGTCTAACTTTTTTTGTGATGCATGACACTTTTTATAGCAAATACATGCAGAAAACATGGCAGTTAATGACTTTTGTAGGTGATACTGAACTACAAATTGCCTACATACTTGAAAAATGTTCATAGCTCTTTGTTGTGTGCAGATCACACAGATCTACCTCTACTCCAGACCTGAGTCTGTCCAGACTGAGATCTGTCTGTCTCTCTGACATCTCCTCATGGCTATTCAGCAGACAGCTAAAGCTCAACATGACTATAACAGAGTTCTTAATTTCCCTTCTCCCTACTTCTTACTCTCACTCACTGTGGACAACACAACCATCCTATTGCTCAGGCCTGTAACCTGGGAGTCCTCTTTGATTCAGACCTTTCTCTAGCTCCTCACATTCAGGCTATGTGTGAATCTTGTTAATTTTTTTCTGCATAACGTTTCTCAGATACAGCCTTTCCTACCTATCCACACAGTTAAAACTTTTGACCAGGCTCTGATGAACTCATGTCTCAATCATTGCAACATTCATTTCCCTGGTGTTAATGTTGCATTCTTGCCCCAATCATCTACTCAGAATGCTGCTTCAATTATCTTTCTCCTAATGTGTTGCTTTGACATGTTGCCTGTCTCTGCATCCCTCCACTGGCTCCCTCTTCTCTATTGTATCAAACATAAACAACATGTCTTCATTTTCGAGGCCCTTGATGCCCTATCCTCATCCTACCTATCATCTCTATCGAGATGTCAGATCCCGCCTCTGCTAGGCCAATAATTCCAGCCTCAATCACTCACTTGTTAATTTTTCAAAAAAGCACCTTTATGCTTTCTCACGTGTTGCCCCTCTCTATTGGGACAGGAGCTCCCCATAAACAACTGCAAAGTTACCTCCTCCAAATTCCTCCCTAAAACTGTCTTCTGCCGTGATACCTACATAAAGCTTGATAAGTGGGCCACTGGCCTGCTGAGACAATTACCTATCATGCTGATTAATATTGTCTCATTGTTTCCTTCTACTTCCCTTTTGGCTTACTCATAGACTCATAGACTTTAAGGTCAGAAGGGACCAATATGGTCATCTAGTCTGACCTCCTGCATGATGCAGGCCACAAAAGCTGACCCACCCACTTTCCCTTAACTCAGCTGTTGAAGTCTCCAGATCGTGATTTAAAGACTTCAAGTCGCAGAGAATCCTCCAGCTTGCGACCCCTGCCCCATGCTGCGGAGGAAGGCGAAAAACCTCCAGGGCCTCTGCCAATCTACCCTGGAGGAAAATTCCTTCCCGACCCCGAATATGGCGATCAGTAGAACCCCGAGCATACAGGCAAGATTCTCCAGCCGGACCCTCATTTTACCAGCGATGGCACATTATTGCCTAATTGATTAAAATCCCGTTATACCATTCCCTCCATAAACTTATCTAGCCTAATCTTGAAGCCAGAGAGGTCTTTTGCCCCCACCGTTTCCCTCGGAAGGCTGTTCCAAAATTTCACCCCTCTGATGGTTAGAAACCTTCATCTAATTTCAAGCTTAAACTTCCCCACGGCCAGTTTATATCCATTTGTTCTCGTGTCCACATTAGTACTGAGCTGAAATAATTCCTCTCCCTCCCTGGTATTTATCCCTCTGATATATTTAAAGAGAGCAATCATATCCCCCCTCAGCCTCCTTTTGGTTAGGCTAAACAAACCGAGCTTCTCGAGTCTCCTTTCATACGAAAGGTTTTCCATTCCTCGGATCATCCTAGTGGCCCTTCTCTGTACCCGTTCCAGTTTGAGTTCATCCTTTTTAAACATAGGAGACCAGAACTGCACACAGTACTCCAAATGAGGTCTCACCAGCGCCTTGTATAACGGAAGCAGCACCTCCCTGTCCCTACTAGAAATACCTCGCCTAATACATCCCAAGATCGCATTAGCTTTTTTCACGGCCACGTCACATTGCCGACTCATAGTCATCCTGCGGTCAACCAGGACTCCGAGGTCCTTCTCCTCCTCCGTCACTTCCAACCGATGCGTCCCCAGCTTATAACTAAAATTCTTGTTAGTCATCCCTAAATGCATCACCTTACACTTCTCACTATTAAATTTCATCCTATTACTATTACTCCAATTTACAAGGTCATCCAAGTCTCCCTGCAGGATATCCCGATCCTTCTCCGAATTGGCAATACCTCCCAACTTTGTGTCATCCGCAAACTTTATCAGCCCACTCCTACATTCGGTTCCGAGGTCAGTAATAAATAGATTAAATAAAATCAGACCCAAAACCGAACCTTGAGGAACCCCACTGGTGACCTCCCTCCAACCTGACAGTTCACCTTTCAGTACTACCCGCTGCAGTCTCCCCTTTAACCAGTTCTTTATCCACCTCTGGATTTTCCTATCGATCCCCATCTTTTCCAATTTAACCAATAATTCCTCATGCGGTACCGTATCAAACGCTTTACTAAAATCGAGGTATATTAGATCCACCGCATTTCCTTTATCTAGAAGGTCTGTTACTTTCTCAAAGAAGGAGATCAGGTTGGTTTGGCACGATCTGCCTTTTGTAAACCCATGTTGTAATTTGTACCAATTGCCCCAATTGTCCCAATTGCCATTCACCTCAAGGTCCTTAACTACTTTCTCCTTCAAAATTTTTTCCAAGACCTTGCATACTACAAATGTTAAACTAACAGGCCTGTAGTTACCCGGGTCACTTTTTTTCCCTTTCTTGAAAATAGGAACCACATTAGCTATTTTCCAGTCCAACGGTACCACCCCCGAGTTTACAGATTCATTAAAAATTATTGCTAAGGGGCTTGCAATTTCTCGCGCCAGTTCCTTCAATATTCTAGGATGAAGATCATCCGGTCCGCCCGATTTAGTCCCGTTTAGCTGTTCAAGTTTGGCTTCCACCTCTGATACGGTAATGTCAATCCCCCCTCCTATATTCCCCTCTGACCTGCTGCCTCTATTCCTAAGCCCTTCATTAGCCTTATTAAAGACCGATGCAAAATATTCATTTAGATATTGTGCCATGCCTAGATTATCCTTAATCTCCACTCCATCTACATTCTTCAGCGGTCCCACTTCCTCTTTCTTTGTTTTCTTCCTATTTATATGGCTATAAAACCTCTTACTATTGGTTTTAATTCCCCTCGCAAGGTCCAACTCTACATTTAGATTGTAAGCTCATTGGGGCAGTGACAGTCTGTTTTGTATTTTATGTTTTGTTTTGTATTTGTATGGTGCCTAGTAGTATGGTGTCCTTGTCCTAGATGCTATAGTAATACAATTAATAAATAAATACATATATATTAACTTCTCCTTCAGACTGTCCTCGTTCTGTGATTAAACTTCACAAAAACTATTTTGACCAAAAAGCAGTGTTAAGTGTGCAGACTGGACTGAAGTTATAATTTGTAAGTGCTGGAAAATGGCATTAAAAGTTATCTTGTATTTGCATCTCATTAGTTCCTATAGTGACATGTGAGACCTTCTTTTCCCATAAATTTCCTTTTTAAATAGGTAAATATGGAAGCTGAAGAAAATCATTTCTATTTTTAGGATTCTGAAGGTGACACTCCGCTCCATGATGCGATAAGTAAAAAGCGCGATGACATCCTGGCTGTACTGTTAGAAGCTGGGGCAGATGTTACTATTACAAACAACAATGGATTTAATGCTCTCCATCATGCTGCACTAAGAGGGAATCCCAGGTAAATTCTTGTTGTCTTTAGTGTTTAGTTCATGATGTTTGATTAAAGGAGGAAAAATGAGAAAACACATTCTGGTATTTCGGTAACTTTTATAGTAGATTTATTATGCTGAAATGTAGCAAGCCAGATTTTTACCCAAAAGTGAAATTTTGGAGAGACTTTATGTAAAAATGGTTTGGCTACTGAGTATGAGAAGGAAGGGTGAGATGGTTGGCTATGTGGTGAGGGGAAGGAGATGCTCTCCCAATCATTTTAAAAAACATTTTTATATACACCATTAAACTGTTCTATAGCTGGAACAACTGAGGGTAAAAAGTTGAAATTTTGAATGGAATGAATCTTTATTAAGAAGAGCCATTGAGTATTTCAGTGAAAATTTGAGATTTGGGAGTTAGGAGGCTTTAAAAACTGTATTTTACACATGCACAATAACTGAAATAGAGGTATTTTTAACAACTTTCTACCAATGGAAGGAAGGTTGGTTGGGTTGTGCATGCATGTATGGTGGATACATATAGTTGGGAATGTGGGTATTTCTGAAATTGTGCAGTCAGCAAGGGTTCCATAGGAGCACAGTGGTTTGCATGGTTAATTGTATTCTCACATGAGCGTCTAATAGTGCAACGTATGCTCCGAATGAAGCAAGGGCTGTCCTGGCCTAATTAATTAATTAAAAAATATTAGCCTAGGAAATTTCATAAAAAGTACTTTGGGGGAATAGTAGGCGTTCAGATATGAGAATGCCATGGTTATGGTTCCATATGTATCCTTAACTCTGTCCCCTTGTGTGATTATAACATTCCTGTCTTGAGTCATCTGATCTTAAGTTACTATTTTTCAAGTAATAATGTAATATATGTTTATAAACCTCAGTGAATGAGGCACAGATTTGCAGGAGTCTTCATGTAACATGCTATGAGTACTGTAAGTTGCTGAGTGAGTGAGGATTCCTTAGCATAGTAATGAGTTTTTCTGTCTGCCATGTGCAGACTGTCATACATTAGTAGATGAAGTTGCATGTGTAAGCTTATAGAAACGTGTAATATTTTAAAAATATGTGGTCATGTAGTTAAAGATTGTATTATTCACACTCATAAGTAGGCAGTTTTGAGTTGCACATACAACTGTAACAATGCCATTATGTGATTTGAGTGCTTAACCATGTAACCATAATGTCTTAATCTTTTCTGTTTAGAATAGTAAATACTGATTTACAAAGCAAAGTTACAAGAATATTCCTCTAAAGCCCTGTACAGTGTGAAGTGAGCATGTTTAAGTTTGTCATGTTAAGTTTGCCCTTGATGGTACAATAATTTAAAACATCAAAACCATGTATTTATAATAGCATATTTATTGAAGTAGATTTGCCATTTTTGACCTATGCGCAACAGTTCATTCTTTAATTGTTTATCTGTAAGCATGTTTTGTTGCGTTCAGTAACTGCACATTTTTTCTAAAATCTTCATTTGTAAATAATAATTCTAGTAGTTGGCTTTTTTGCATGATTTAAGCCAGGGGTCGGCAACGTTCGGCACGCGGCTTGCCAGGGTAAGCACCCTGGCGGGCCGGGCCAGTTTATTTACCTGCTGACGCGGCAGGTTCGGCCGATCGCGGCCCCCACTGGCCACGGTTCGCCGTCCCGGGCCAATGGGGGCGGCGGGAAGCCGCAGCCAGCACATCCCTTGGCCCGCGCCGCTTCTCGCCGCCCCGATTGGCCCGGAACGGTGAACCGCGGCCAGTGGGGGCCGCGATCGGCCGAACCTGCCGCGTCAGCAGGTAAATAAACTGGCCCGGCCCGCCAGGGTGCTTACCCTGGCGAGCCGCGTGCCGAACGTTGATGACCGCTGATCTAAGCTGTTTGGAAAGCTTTCACTGTCACTGCTTGTGAAGAGCTATTTATGGATAAATGGCATTCTCCAGAGTTTCAGTCCAGCACTTTCATTAGCATTAAGTGCAAATATAATGGAAAATGTGATGTCATTTGCATGCAACTAAACCAGCATTTTATGAATAAATGAAGTGTTAATATTTTTATTTCATTGCTTGTTTGAGCTGAAAGGTAATGGAATTGTTTAGTAACAGAAAAGCTAATGGAGTTGGACGTGTAACTGTGGGTATTGGTTGGCTTGTAGAATCTTTTTTAATTTTTGTGGCTAATACATGAGAAGAGAACCACGATTGACTTTTAACTCTTACATTTTCATGACTGGCAGTTTGCAAATTACAAGTAAATATTTTCCTATGTCCATATGGAATCAGATGCACATAATAAACACAGAACCAGATAGTAACAGTTTTAGTTGTTTTGAATGGAACTATACTTTAATCCAGTGGAAATGATGTTATGAAGAATAGGAAAAATTGCACTTAAATTTTTCTACAGCACTCATCGCCATAGTATCTAAGATAGGAAACCCTTCAAGGAGCTAATCAAGACACTAGACAACATGACTAGCTGCACTCATTTGAAGGCACTTGCCTTTCTGACTATCAGAATCTGAAGCCTTGGCATTTTACTAGATTAGTCAGTGCTCCTTGATATCTAGGTAGCAGCAGTAGGCAAAAGTACCATCTTCTGTCTCTAGCTTGCCAGGATTCAATGGCTGTTGCTCTGAGGACCTTGCCTAGTGACCGTGATCCATATGTTCTTCACCTCAAGATTAGATTCCCTGTATTTGGAGTCAAAACCACTCTTACTCATTGGGACAACTGCTTATTGGGCCACTGAGGCTGTCTGATCCTAGGGGGGAAATTTTGGGAGTTGGAAGCCTTTTCTTCCATGATGGAACCCAGTGTGGCGAATGAGCTCGACTCTGACCGCTCTCAGAGTGTGGTGCAAACCCACATTCCAGAGAAGCATTCCTGCAGTAACAAGCTTAAGAACAGTGATTGAGAGGTGGGAAAATATTCCAGGTATAAGTGATTGATTGAACCCTACAGTGGTACCTGGATACTATTGTGACTGAAGAGGAAAGGGTAGATTTATGTAGGTGCTTGTATGGCTCTCATCTAACTAACTAAATATAAATAAAAATAAAAATAAATAAATAAATAACTGAACACCTCCTAAGTGGTTTTTCTTTTAATCTCCTTTTCTTCTTTCCTAACCTATAGAAGAAATAGTTTGATTATTTCATACATTTTTTGTATGAGTAGACGAGTATTTTCCACATGGATATGAGAAGAAATTAAGAGAAAATCTCATGAGGTTTGCATTTTGTTCTGAAATTTTCATGGCCCCTCCTCTCTTGCCAGAGTGGCTTATGTAGTCCCAGGTGCAGTTTTGTCTGCAGGACTCTCAAACTTTTTCTATTGGTTGTCCGTTTCATTGCCCTCCAGCCAGCCTCCTCCCAGTTAAAACTAGGGAACTATTAGCTCGGGTACTTTGTTCATAACTGTTATGTTGTATCACATATAGAGTGGCAGTCTGTTAAATAGAAGGGATATAAACTATTTAAGGCTTTGAGTCAAAACCAGAACATTAACTTAATCTGGAAATAAATTTAAAGCTAGTGCAGTCTTTGCACCTCATGAGTTGCCATGGTGTCATGTGAAATCTTGGTGTTTTACTAGATTAACTATAATTTTCACATAGTTTGAAGCTATAGACTTGTGTGCAGAATACTGCAGTAATCTAGTCTTAAGGTGACAGACATGAGTGTGAAGACCACATCACAAAAGGACCCAAACCTCTTGCCAAATTTAGATAGATTTAATTTACTTCAGAAGTGCTTGGATTATACAGCAACGCTTACTATTAAAAGATTAGATGGATGATGGCAAGAGATTCCTTGACACTTGCCAGGTTGGCATCCAGAAGCAGCTGAGTGTCTACTACACCCCTACATTCCACTTTATGACAGGTTGCTAGTCCTTCTAATAAACAGCAGGCAGACCTCATTAAGAGCAACTGTATAAACCCCACTAGAATCTTCAAGTCTGTCAGCACCTTGTCAGTAGTATTGAAGGCAGTTGTTCTAAAAGACTTGTCATAGACATTTGACTCCCAGATTGTTCCCCACCACAACTATTGTGTTTTTCCCTCATATGGGGAGACTCCAGGGTAGTATGGAGATGGGGTCATACAGCTAAGGACTCTTAGAAGTTTCTGGAAGAGTTCTGTCATGACTTAGTCTCCCCCACCTCCAACCCCCCCCCCCCCCAAAATAGATTTGTGATAGTTGATGTGTCAGTAAAGCAATGTTTGTTTGAATAAAGGTTTAACAACCTTTTTTAAAAGTTGGTCTCCAGCAATGGCCTCCGCACCTCTCTTTTGGCATTCACCTGCAAGTAGGGGCCTGGAACTAATGCACATTGTGGCTCATACATTCTAGTACCCCAAGAGTGCCAGTGAACATCGTGGCTGAAACTCAAGCAAAGATAACTCCTCTCCCCCCAAAAAAACCAGTCAACCAACAAGCTGTTTGTGCTACCACTCTACAGACCATTAAGTTAACAGCAGTACACTACCATATGCTTCACCTTTAGCCTCGCTCTCAGAAAACATTGTGCAAATTTGTCAATTTTGAGTACCAACATCATTTGGTCACAGGAGATAGAGGTATACTATTGTAAAATTACAGTTTAGCTTTTATTCTGATAGCTTTACGTGTCTGTAGATCATTGAGGTAAATGTGGTTCAACTTTGTTGATATTATTAGCCTATTATATCTAGCACATTGAATTATGTTGAATTGCAAGGTTTTAATATATTGCTGTTTCTCTGTTGATCTTTGCTTATTTCCTAATGCTTTCTTTCTAATGTTTTGTTTTAATTAATAATCTGAAAAAATCACTAAATGTTTAATTGATTTTGGATATTAAGTAGAAAATATTTAATTAAAATAAGACAGTAAATAATTAAGTGGTCTATAGTTTTAGATGATTCAGAATTTTTTTTCTCCGCATTTGTCCTTCTATGAAAGTGTGCTTGTGCGGATACAGTAAGTGTCTTAATGATCATATGTTTGAGTTTTAATTATTGTAACAAGTAAGATATT